GGCCTCCCACATGCTCGATCGGGGGGCTATACTGGTCCAGCAGCAGTTGGTGACGGATGGAGGAGTCCCATGGATGTTCAGGCGAGCGGCATCGGATGTACGGGGTTGTGGAGGAGGTGGGTTCGAGAGTCGAGCGTCGCGGTTGTGGGTTAAGCGTCGAGGCCAAGTGGGAGTGGGCTGGGCGAAGCTTGAGGGCACGCCGGCGGCCTGGTGGCACCTGCCGTTCCAGCTTGTCTCATCTCGGCCGTGATTGGTCCCATCCCTGCAGCGCCCGGCCAACCCATTGCAGAAACAGCGCCGGCAGCCCTTTCCACCGTGGGCCCCCCAGTCGCTGGGCCTCGCTTCCCCGTCGCTGTCCTTGCCCATCGAGCCTCATCCCAGCCCTAAAACGTCGCACGAGCGCGTTGCTGGACGACATCAAACTCTGTCCGTCTAACGCTCCTGGTTGGGGCCTCTGGCGCTCCTGGGGCCCCTCCCCTTGACCCTCGACTCTCTCCCGAACACAATCACTCAGTCAGCCTCGGAACGCGCGGGCGACGGCACTGGCGACGGCGATGGCGATGGCGAGGTCAAAAGGCAAGGGCAAGGTCAAGGGCCTTTCCTACTGCCTCCGTGTCGCGCCGAATGAGCGGCTTCGGGTAGGCTGAGCGGCATCGCACACAATCGGGCCTCGCCTCGATTCTTTTCAGCATAGCCTGCCTATGCCTGTGCCCACAATACCACGCGCACCCCCCCCCCAGCTTTTTTCACCCACGCTGCAGCCACAGCCCAGCGCAGACAGATTGGCAGAAACGACGGAGGCTGCCATGTCACTGCCAGGCCATGTGCCACTGCAGGCTGTGTCCCAGCATTCGACAGCATTACAAGACGCTGGCTGCCACTGCTAAAGGCAGCCGGCGCATTCCATCTTCACGTCCGTGCGCTCACTAGCAGGTTTTACTCATGCATCATGGCATGGCGTGCTTCGACTTGACAGTCGCTCCTTCTTTCCGCGCGAGAACCTGCGACTTGGCTTGCGCACAGACGCAAACATGCAAACCGCCTCTCTCACTCCCTCACACGTACACACATATTCTTTCTCTTATACCCCTGCAACAACACTCACAACAAGATCCCACTGCCAGAGCCAAGATTTATAAGACGATGCTTGCATACTACTTGTTCAAGCCGAGTGTGCTGCCGTCAACCTACGAGCGTGCGATTTCTCTCTGACCTCCGAAACCTTACTATCCCCCTCATCTTCCATTCCTTGTTTAACCACCGCATTCTGACTTTGAGAGCACCATGTTTCACCTTGCCTGATATGCGCCTATAGATGCGCTCCAGTATGCGACAAAGCTTCAACACCGACCGTGTGTTGGCCACGAATGCCTAGAACTTGATTCCTTCCGAAGCTGTCTCTCGGTCGATCGATAAAGCCGGAAAACCCAGGCCAAGCGGGCTAGTCCACCAAAACGACCAATCTTCACAACAGGATATCAGCAGCACCATAATATTATTTTAAGAGAAAATTAGAGCCAGTGATCGCGCTTACTCTATAAGTATTATACTTACGCGTATAATAACTAAAATAATATCAGTCGTGCTGCAGCAGGAGCAGCGTTTCTAAGCGGGCTTCATACCGTTGGTGTTAGGCAATTTTGTTTCCGGCTTTCCCGATCGACCGAGAGGCTGTTACAATGTATTCGGCGACTACTCTTGTATACTCCGTTACATATGCATATAATTCCCCGAGTCACATGGCGCCCTATAATCTTTCTAGTCTCTTTACTACTCAATGCAGATGGTGCCCAGGTACCGTGAACAGCTCAGTAGTAGTGTCGGCCCTTGCCGCTTACCATACCGACTTCTGGTAAGACTCGCCCTACTAGCTTGCATTCCAAATTGAATTTCTATGCGCCTTGCACGGAAGCTGCCGCATCGGCGATCGAGTAATCTGTGTACATTGCGTAGACCATGTCATCTGGCCAATCCTGTCCTCTCGTTCATTTGCTCTCCTATTTCTAAGGTCTGTTTGGCAAACCACTGCTGGGATATCCGTGGAATCTAACTGCGAGCTTACCAAGTTCCACCTTTCAGCACTGTTTAATGCAACCATTTTTGGACATCGACGCGTCCCAGAGTGGCACCATATTCCCTGCGGTAATATGTTCTAACTGCGGTGAGATCGTAATTGATATCGGCATCCATCGTTTAGGAAATCTTACACAGACTATTTGCGCCGTGCAGATGTACAAAAAGCAGCAAACGACAAAGGCCCGTCTAGATATTAGATGCTTGCACTTGCAACAAAGCAGAAGGTGCATACCTCTAGTGCCAAACCCTATCTCTTTTCTGTTGTCAATCGAGATCTTAGACAACAACCATGACACACATGTACAGAGAAAATATTGTAACAGCAAAGATGGCGGTCTATGAGAAAAATAACGTGACTGAGTGTTTGTGGATGATGACGTTACTGCACGTGCTCGCGCGCCTCGCTGGACCCTTGCAATCCTTCTACACACTTTCGCCCCACTCATCGAAGAATCGCACTGTGCCTCCTTGCACATCTAATTGCTATCCAGAGCAACCGAAAATGTACATCTAAATCTACACAGGCTGCAGATCATTCGAAGAAAGTCACAAAGCTTCCAGCACTGTAGCACTGTTTGCGCAACGCGCATACTTAACGCGACAGCGACGCGCACAGCAGAATCTGCGAGTCAACAGTGAGGGACAAGCAGTAAAGTAAATTCAAAAGGATCTGTTCAGGATGGCGCGCAAGAAAGCTCGGGACAACAAGCGGCAGACCAAAATCAATTTCTCGCCTGCTTCCCAAACATCGCGTGCAACTAGATCCTCCGCAACACCCATGGCTGGCGCGTCCCAGAAGCCACAAAAGCCGACAAAAGGTAGCGCCAGTCGGGCATCAAAGAAGACATATCAGGATTCAACAAGCGAGGATGAGTTGGCACAAGAGACAGAGAGAGGCTTGCGCATAGGCATGTTCAATGATCGAAACAATCACGCAAGTGGCTCCTCAAGCTCAGAAGAGGAGCAGCCAGTCGAGAAGCAGCCCAAGTCAAAGTCTAAAAAGCGGCGACGTGAGGCGACATCAAGCGAATCTGAAGGCGAGGCAACTGTTGTAGTGATACCACGCAAACGTCAACGGCACGGTATCAAAGTTGAAATCGAGAGCTCAGAAGAAGACAGGAAGAGAAAGAAAAAGAAGAAGCAAGCCAAGTCAGAACCTGCACCACGCAGCGCTCGAAGAGGGGTTGCTAGAAAGGCTTCTACTCCAAACGAAGAGGAAGAGGAAGAAGAGGAGGAACAAAACAAGCATACCCCGCCTCGCAGTGTCAGGCGCAAGCTTAAGAGACGAAGACCCATGTCTGATGATGATGATGAGGACGAAGACGAAGATGAGACACACGGAGCCAACAAAGACTCTGCCTCAGATATGGAAGAGTCGGACTGTGCTGATGATACGGGGGATAACGAAGAGCAAGAAGAACTTAAAGAAGACCTTGCATTTCTACGATCATCTCCAGTTGCAGACAGTCGTAGGTCAACAAGCACAACGCTAAAGAACAAGCGACAAGAAGCTCTGGAAGCCCTGAAGAGACGAAGAGCTGGCACAACCGAGGCTTCGTCTTCAGCAACACCTGTGCGGCGAAAGACAGTTGTCATAGATTCCGAGTCCGACTCCGATTCAGAACTTGAGATTATCAAGGAGGAGGAGGAGGATAGCGACGTAGAGGCTTCGGACCAAGACGACAGCGAGGATGAGCAGGAGACCAATGCCTTTGATATGTTTCAAGAAGATCAAGACGATGAGCAATTTATCGACGATACAGAGAATATTATTGGAGAACCCGCAGCAAATGACGACTTGGACGAGCTGCGACTAACCTTGAGCCTCTCTCGAGCAAAGACAAAGGACCTGTTCAGACATGCCGTCGAGTGGATGGTCATGAAAAAGATCCACCCCGGTTTCGAGTCAACTAAAAACATCTATACGGTGACTTTCCGGAAACTTGATGACGAAGTCAAAGGCCTCGCAGGATCAAAGTACACATCAGCAGCCTGGACTTCCGACTTTACGCGCGCTATCCGCGCACGACCAGACCTGATGATTAACGACCTCAGCGCCAGCGCAAGAGCCGCAATGTCTCCCCACTGCGAAGCCTGCAACCGCACCAACCACACCGCAAGCTCCGAGCTCCTCTTCCAAGGCGCGCCGTACAACCCAGACACCCTCGAACCCCTCTCCTCCAACTCCGACTACGACTCTGACTCTGACTCTGACTCCGATTCCTCCACCTCCTCTGCCCTCTCCTCCGACTCGGAAACCCTCCCCAACGGTGGAAAACCAACCTACAACTACCAAAAAGAGCGTATCCCCCCAGAATCTCACCGCTTCCCCGTCGGCTCAACCTGCAAAGCCAACGCCCAAGTCGCACACACTTTGTACCACTGGCGCTACCATCTCTACCAGTGGGTTAAAGATTACCTCAAAGCAGAGGGTCATTTCACAGAGAAGAAGTTAGTAAAGAGGGAGGGCTGGAGCGATCGCAAGAGAGCTAAGGCTGCGGCTAAGATTGTGAAACGTATGGAGGATAAGGGCCAGATTCGCGAGTTGTATCATTCGTATAAGAATCAAATTACTGCGGCTGTTGAGGCGGATAATCGGTTTGAGAATGGGTGGGGGAGACGTGGGAGGTAAAGGGTATGTTTTTTTGGGGGGTATTTGTGGATATATTCAATTGGCGCAGTGGTTTTGCTTGTGTATAAAAGTTAGGGGGTTGTTTAGTGTATTTGAATATTGCTTCAAAACAAGGAGAGATACTTGGTTGATTACCCTGGAGAACGAGAATGCCGGTTGTGCAATATGTATGTGAAGAATAAGAACAAGAAAAAAAAGAGGAGCACATGTATTCATTTCCTTTCTGGGTATCGTACTTTTTTGTCATCATAACGTTGACTTCCCCCCCCCCCCCCCCAAAAAAAAAAGCCGCTTACAACATCTCATCCACCTCCTCAGGTACCGCTGCACTCTGCGCTGTCGCAACATCCACGTCCTTGGTATCACCCGCCTCATCCATATCCTCATCCCCACCCCACTCCCTCTCCCCCCTCTTCGCCTCCACATCCCCATCCCCCACTACACTCTTCCTCCCCTTCTTGCCCCCCTCCCCATTAATATCCTCCCACCCCTTCGCCCTCTCCGTCACCTTCCTGCCCTTACCGAGACTCTTCAACCGCTTACTCGCCAATTTATCCATATTCTCCTCCGCACGTTCAAGTCCCTTTTGGTGGCGCAGCCGCTGCGCACGCGTCATGTTTGAGGTTTTTTTCTGGCGCTTTTGGATGCCGGCGTCTTTGGCGGCGAGGGCGTGCGGGTTTAGGGTGGAGGGGCGCGAGGGCGAGGTTGAGTCTCGGGTTGTGTGGGTGGGTGGTTGGGCAGAGAGGGGGAGGGAGAGGGAGGGGGAGGTTGCGCGGCGGGCGGCGCGGGAGTGGATTGTGACTTCTGTTTGAGAGGTTAGTGGTAATTTAAGGATGGGTGTTGGGAGGACTAACGGCGCTTCTTGACTTTTGCGGTTTTGGCCATTGTGTATGTTGGGGGGTTTTTTTTGTTGCGGCGATTGCGCGGGAGTTGTTTGATGTGGTAATCTTCTTTTTTTCTTTTGTTTCACAAAAGTACTCGACCTATCTTGGTCTATATGGGTGATCGAAGAAAATTTACTACTTTCGAGTCCCACGCGAAAAGATTTACAACGTGTGTTTTGAAATGTCGTGAAATCGGAAGTCGCAAATCTACAAAAGTTCCCCCACTAGCTCGTTCGAGGACCGAAATTCCGGATCCACTTCGGCCGCTAGTTGCATGTCCGCACCTTCTTCAGTAGCCGCAAAGTCCTTGCCCTGCGAACATTCACGCCAACCCTCCGCCACCCACCGCTGCCGCCCATCGTCCTTCGACCGTCGTCCGCGTACGCTCGTCTCTCCCATGTCGCAGACAAACACACCACCGCGTTTGCTCTGTTCGACACCGTCCATGCGCTGGCCTGAGGGCTGAAAGACTGGAACCCTTTCCCACTTTGCGCCTTCACTGATTTATCATCATTCACCAACCTTCGCTCCCGTTCGCCCACCCGCTTTTTTCTTCCAACACAAAAAACAGCGTTGTGGTCTCTTGCACGTTTCAGCTTTATTTTTTCTACAACAGCCCCCCTACGAGCTATGAGCTACGGCGAATACCCCGAACTTGACGCCTATCAACAGCGCTGGAACACATCCGACTCGCATTCCACTACCACATCCATTTTCCTGGGCACTATCATAGGTGCATACTTTCTCCTCAGAGCTCTCGACTATCTAGGCTTTCCTGTCGGTTTCTACGTACGCCGGTTTCTCAGGATGGCTACCAACGTTTTGCGCTCACGGGCGTCTTCGATCGGCTCCGCGTCTGGATCGGAATCCGACGATGCAGCGGCGCAGGGTGGAGGCATGTTTGGTAGCCTCTTTGGCATGAGCCCCGGGAACTTACTCTCAAAAGGCGTCAGAGGCGTCGCGAGCGCTCTTTCCATGGGTTCCGGTGATGTCCCGCCTGGCTTGGGCAACATCAGCAACTCTTGTTACCAGAACAGCGTCATCCAAGGCCTTGCTTCGCTTCCTTCGCTGCGCGACCATCTCGCCAAAACCACATCCGAGCATCCCTCGCTCTCACCGGAAAGCACCAATGGCGCGCTGTTCGAGATAATCACAAAACTCAACGATCCAGAGAACAAGGGGCAACATTTCTGGATACGCGGCAAGCTCAAGTCGATGAGTACGTTTGAACAGCAAGATGCGCAAGAGTATTATAGCAAGATATTGGATGCGCTAGATGAAGAGGTCAAGAAGACTGCGAGCAGTAAGAGGCGATCCTCGGTCTCCTGGCTGGAAGTCACAAAGATTCTCAGTGACTCACCAAATACAGATGAAAAGACACAGGAAGGAGAGAAGGGCGATTCAGAGAAGCCAGCCGTACAGGCTCCCGCAAACCCTCTTGAGGGCCGCCTCGCACAGCGCGTCGGTTGTACATCCTGCGGCTACTCGGAAGGTCTCACACTTATCCCCTTCAACTGCATCACCGTCTCTCTGGGAAAGAACCACGGTTACGATATCCGCGAATGTCTTGACGAATATACGAATTTGGAGTTCATCGACGGTGTCGAGTGCGCAAAGTGTACATTACTTAAGCTACAGAAGACTCTAACTCCTCTTGTGTCTAAGAAGCCAGAATCGCCATTGAAGGCAAGACTCGACGCCGTGCAGGAGGCTTTGGAAAAGGAGGACTTTGAAGACAAAACACTACTCAAGACTTTGAATGTGCCCAAGAAGAACTGGGTGCAGAGTACCAAATCGAAACAGGCAGTTGTCGCGCGAGCACCCCAGGCATTGGTACTTCACGTCAACCGTAGTAGCTTCAATGAGTATACTGGTATGCCGTTCAAGAACACTGCTGGTGTGTCATACCCAAGTGTTCTGGACCTGGGCAATTGGTGCCTAGGCGGTGCACCGAAAGGCTCTGAAAAGCCTGCCACGTCTGAAGAAGAGTGGCCAAAAGATCCTAGAGAGTCCATGTTACCAAGGGGCAAGCCCATATTCGATTCCCCTTTTCAATACCGGTTGCGGGCTGCTGTCACACACTACGGCTCGCATGGTAACGGACATTATGTGTGCTACCGGTCACACCCAAAGACTATCTCCAAGCCAACCGAGAACGAGGAGGCTGATGCCTCATCGACAGATGACAAGGAGCTTGAGGATGAAAAGGAACAAGAAGAGGCGCAGGAAGAAGCTGCTGCATCCCCGTCGGAACAATGGTGGCGCTTCAGCGATGACAGTGTCTACCCTGTCTCTGAAGAAGAGGCGCATCAAGGAAATGTCTTCATGCTCTTCTACGAGCGCATTGATGAATCAACGCCTGTCCCATCTCATTCCGCCACGGAGAACGTCACGGTAGCAGAGGATGCTCCCTTACCACCAGTCGATGCCGCAGCATACGCACAAGCCTCTCCAAACGTAGAAGCCACTGCCATTGCTCTCCCAAGCGACGACGACGACGATCTTCTCCCAACCAAGTTAGCTACCAAACCGCAGCCGCCTCAACTCTCCATACCCACCACACAAGCACCCGCAGACGAGACACCATCCTCCCCATCTAGCGTTGCCACAACCACCCCAACAAAACCAAAATCATTATCACCGCCCCACCTCGACCCCGAAACAGAAGCCAGCGACGCGGATTCTGAAGACGCCCCTTCAACCCAACTCACTTCGGACTACGAATCTGAAGCTGACGCTGACGTTCCTACGCCCCCACTCAAGTCCCTACCCGTTTCCTCTTCTTCTTCTGCTAAAATCTCTCCAAATATGATGCGTACAGCGGGCAATGCATCGAATAGGGGACAGCAGCGCAAGAGACAGAGTTTGCCGCTTGTGTCTGCGACGTAGTTTGCTCGTGGCGCTAAGCGTATCAAACTCGAGTATGTACGGTAGGGGAGTACCGGGAAAGAAGAGAGGGGAGGGAAGTTTTTGTGTATGTTGATTTTGTTGGTTGGAGATTTGTTGGGGAGGGGGAAAATGGAAGAGATTGTAAAGGATTGGATGGAACGAATGGGAAATCGGTATAGGCGTTTAGGTTGCCTGTTTGCCCAGTAAGGGTCAGGTTTGGGCGGCAATTTGCTCTTTTTTTCTTTCCTTTTTTATTATCGTTTATCTTTGATTCTTCTTCTTCTTCTTCTTCTTCTTCTTCTTCTTCCGGGTGTACGGCTACATGGCAGTGTTTACGATAAAGCACATACGGTTCTTTTTTTTTGATACGTTTGAAATGAAAATATCCGATGCGTTCCTCAATCTTTTTCGTGCCTTTTGAATCCGCAGTTTGAACAACTACTATGTCATTAACGATATCTATCTACATATGATCCTATATCTACCCTAAAATACCCAACGCTCAAATCACAACCTATATACATGCATATATATGTATATATGTCGATTCATCCACCCATAACATAATCCTCGTCAACTTCAAACTCGCCATCCCTCTCGGATCCAACTAAACTAACCACCTCATCCTTCTCCTCGTCCCGCCATCCCATCCCCGCCCACGTCCGCCCCGCCGTCCTCATCACGCCTTCGAATTCGCCCAGCGCCTCAAACCACCGCTCCCGCCTCTTGCTCTCCCGCACGCCTCCTTCCAGCGCAACGCGACTCGCCCGTGTAGTTCGCGCCTTGCGCGCTGAACCCAGGCCAGCGGTAGTACCGGTGGTGGTAGTGGGACCGAGTACGTCGGACATACGGGCGCGCATCTGCTCGAGACTCTGCTCGTGGGCGACGATGCTGCGGACGTAGGGGGCGAGTTCTAGTGTTATTATACTAAAATTTCGATCGAAAGACGAAGGGGTTAGGGTGAACGAAGTGCGTTCTGGCATGAGTTGGTCGGGGGGTGCGGCGAGGCAGTCTAGTGCTGCTGCGAAGTCTGAGCGATTGAGGCAGGTTTTTGAGGCTTTGAGTTGTTCGTGGCGGAGGATGGCTTTGGCGTAGGCAGGTTCGGAGGTTGGAGAGGAGGGGTTGGGGGAGGGGGTGCAGCGGGTTTGGGAGATGAGGGGGTAAGCGCGGTGGATGAGGAGGTGGGTTTGCAGAGTCAGGGATGTAGAGAGATGGAGGAAATCGGTTGTGTGGTCGATTTGGAGGAGGGGGGCTGCGAGAGTGTAGTTTTGGCGGGATTTTTCGGGGATGGGGGGCTGGGAAGCGTCGGTGGGTTGGGTGTGGGCGGTGCTGTAGGAGGGGAGGTCTACGCGGCAGAAGATGTCTGCTGCGCTGAGAGATTCGGTGTATGCATCTAGACTGGCAAGAGCTTGCAGGCGGTGGGATGGTTCTGCGTTGTGGGCGTTGAGTATCTGTTGGCTGCTCGTCATTGGGGCTCCCCAGTCTGAAGGACTGATGCCCCAATCTGTCCACACTTCTTGCAAGAGTTCTTCTTCCTTGTCGAAGGCGGTGTTGGTGGAGGTTTCGAAGACGTTGTGCGAGAGCCAACCCATGCCGGATTGATATGTGCCCTCACTAACAACCCTCAGCGTCTGGCCATATTCATCAACGTCTTTGCCTGGCGGCCAGCGCTGATACGTCCACTCCAAGCCACCCTTTCGGTCTCCAACAGACATCTGACACCAAAAGTCAAGCTCCATGATACTAGCTCGTAGATCACAGCCTTTGGATTGGTAAAGCTCCTTCACAGCTTGTCGCGCAAGAACGTGTCCTTCCCTCCCAGCTAAAGCAAGTAGGTAATCGGTTGCGAGTTCCACAGGAGGAGGCTGAAGTCGTAATACAGCGGCAAGTGGCAAGTCATGCATCGGTATTTGTCTTTCATCGTTACAAGTGATGACAATGGGACGTTTGGAAATAGATGCAATCTTTGTGATCTGTGCCCAGAACTGCTGGTCCTCGTCAAATAGGATGTCAGCTTCCTCAATAAGAATCAAAGATTGCTTCTGAGATGTATGTGACGTTTGTGTGAGTGGAAGTGTAGCTTGAGCCGGTGATGGCGCTACCTTCTTGACTTCCTGTGTTCGTGGTTGTGGTTTTGGTTTTGGAATCGCTGCTTTGGACTTTGCTTGAAAGAAAGATGTCATAGTCCCTTGCCGGCCGCTGCTGATGTCTTTTTCAAGCGCATCTACATGCTCTTCTTCCGTATGCTCTACGGGTTGACAAGGCTCTTGGATCGATGCTGCGTTGCGTTTGTGGTTCACTAGATGGTTTCCGGTCATGTCGCCAACTTTGTCCTGGATATCTTTGCCCGAGCGGCGCATTCCGGCATGGATCTCGAAGACTTCAAACCCCATCTCTTTAGCCACTGCATGAACAGTTGCACTTTTGCCACACCCGTGAGGCCCGCTGATGAGTATGACATTCTTATCACGCGTCCACTGAGGCCGTCTGAAAGAGCCTGGCTCCATGTAGCTTCTCCCCTCTACATGAGGCAGCATCACCATGTCTTCTTCCTCCTCCTCTTCATCGTCTGGCACAATAAAGTCGTCAAAAGCCTTCTTGCGTTTCTTCCGGGGTGGCTGCTTCACTTCTACTGTAGCAGTGGTTTTTGATGCACCACCTACAGTCATGACTGTTAGACTTTGCAACCAATCTTTGAGCACTACTGCATCTGTGCCTGTCTGTAGCACATGGGCTGAAGACTTTGGGGCATACTTTTGGGCCCAAGATTGGACCTCACACTTTCCTTGATCAAAGGGCGTAAGATTGTACTCAATTTCTCTGAGGAGATCAACAACGGCTGTATGGAATGATTGCGGTTGCCCGACAGTAGCTAAAGAGGGTGATCTAGCCAGCAGCTGCTCATGTACTCTACGCTTAATATTGGGGCCTGTGGTCAGTAGACGTGCTGGAAGTCGGACATCTTGAGGAGGCGCAAACTCGGTCGTACGATCTTTGTTTCTCCGGCTTTGGTCCTTGGAAAGATCCTGTGCAAGTCTTGCAATCATATCTTCGTGTTCCGGAAGGGTTACAACAGCATTCTTCATCTTTCGTGGCCTCAATGCTAGTTGCACGCAAGTGGAATTATCCAGGCGCATTGGTGAGTTTGTCGATTCCATATTACGAACATGCACATTCTCGCTAGTCGGCCATGAGGGCTCGTTGAGGCCAGATTGCTTGCCAGCTTTGCTTGTTTGTAGTCCCCTATTATAGAATGAGGTGGGCTCTGGTGATTCCTCTCTACGAGTCTCGGCACGCAACTTTCCTGGAGTGACCGCACTTTTCCTGGGAGTTGCGGCGGGGAGCTCTGTGACGACCTTGACTGGAGGGGCGTCCTTCTGAGCCTTGCCAAGAAAGAAAGGATGCGTTATTTTCGACGGCGCAGCTGGTTTCGGCTGTGCGTTCTTCTGAGATGCTTCGCGTTTAGTCGATTTCCTCTTTGCACTCAGGATCTCTTCGATCTTCTGGCCAATGGCAGATCGGCTCGCTGGGTCTGTGCCATATTTGATAACCGTCACTGTAGGAAGGACTTTAGCCTGCTTGGGCTTCCGGCCTCTTCTCTTCTTTGGAGGCGATGTCGGATCTACTGCTGATTTTGGTGGGCTGGAGACAAGTCTACCGCTTTTGGTGATCTTGATCTGCTTCTTTGGTGTCACGTTCTTTGGCTCGTCCAGTGCGGGTTCAGAAGGAACGGCGACGGACTCCGGGTAAGTTGAAAGTGAGGGCGTACTGGGTGTGGTAGATGTGGTAGAGTGTTCCTTCTGGTCATATTCGATCACTTCGGGCACACCAGTCATAGTCACGTCGGTAAGCACATGGGTGTTTGGCCGTGAATCCAAGTCTGCTGGTCCATCTACTTGTACCTGTAATTGTTGGTGCCAGTCCAGAGAAGGCGGTTCAACTTGTGTCAAGGCTGATGAATTGAGCAAGGGCTCTGGGGATTGCGTCTTCTGCCTTTTTCTTCGATCGTGGTTGGGATCTACCTCCAAGGAAGTTTCGACAGAGTCGCTTATACCATCCACAATATCCCCATTTGTTTCCTGTGCTAATGGAGGCCGAGTGAAGCGATCCAGAGATGCCTGGTTCTTCAAGTGAGATACAAAGTTTTTCTCTTTTATTCCGTCATTGGTTGGCGCCCTCTTCTTGCAACCTTTACTAGGCTTGGAGTCTATATTCGTGGATTCGGGGGCGTCTTGGGCATTGTTCGCTGAGGCAATATTCTTGGGTTGTGAAGGATCTGGTACCTGACCGTCTATGTGAAGAATAAGCATTTGATTGTCCACCATCTGTCCAGGAACGTACTAGGGGGCTTAGAAAAGAATGGATGTACGGTCTTTGCCTCCAGATTCATTGCAGGTTGTACTGCGGAGAAGGCCATGTACACGTTCAGAGACTACCAGAGCATTCGTAACATCGGGGCTGGTCTATAGAAACAACAAATCGGGCTGAAATATGGATTGCGTGCGTAAAAGTCGTAAAGTGAATGCATACGATCGCAATCATTAACGATGACCAAAAGACACTTGCAGGACACGCGACGTGACGCGCTAGAGACGCCACTGCAGCCACACTTTACTACCCCTGCACGTGTCCTTCACTAGCCACAGCTGCGCGCTAAGAATCCGCACTCTGGTCACCGCCCTATTTTCTGCCGAAGCTCCAACTTTTTTCTTGACCAGCACTCGACCACCAAACTAAAGCACGCGCTCCACCCTACGGCTCACGCAGACCTCAGATAACCCGACTTTCAGGTCTGGCAAACACCATGTCGTTCGATCAGCCCATTGGCGCCCCCTTCACTTTGGCATCGCTGTCCAAGCCCGTCGGCTCTACAAATGGATGTGTGCACGCTGCTGGCGTCTGCAGCATTAGCGGCATCAAGAAGAGGAAGCGCACCGAGATCGCTGTCGGCGTAGACGGCGAAGGCGTGTCAATTTACAGTGTATGTATTTCAACTTGCGATATGCGATAGCCGCTCAGATTTTCCCAGCTCCAAAATCCCCAACTTGTAACTTCATATGCGCTGCCGCCCAGCGCCACTTTTACAACCGCTCCATACTCCATATACCGAAAAGGCCCTTCCAAGACACCAGCGCATCGCTTCACATACGCATCTCTTACTGGCTCTTCGCCTGCTGATAAGCCGCAACTCGTCTGTTTTCACGACAAGACCAATGGAGAGCACACCGAAACCATAAAGACGACTTATACTCCCTCTGCTGCTGCGCGGATTTCCACATTCGACTCGCTTCCTGTGGCTCCTGGCGGTTCCTCGAAAGATGCGACTCATGATATCCTTGCGACCTTTGACAATGGCGATGTCATCTGTCTTTCTGCAGACCTGGACACGGTCAGATGGACTGTAAACCTTACATCATTCGTTTCTTCTGGAGACTCTCAGGCCGCTATCGAATACATTACACTTGCTAGCGCCAGGTCTGTGACACGGGGATTACTCCGAAGCCGACAGGACGTTACAACAATTTTGGACCCTACAGCAGACAACACATCCGATCTTCTTGACCTTGTTCAGGTGCTCTGTATCCTTGGTCGCAAGACAGATGGTGCGAGAGCCCTGACACTTTTGCAAGTACAGCCAAGGTCTGCAGATCTTACCACCACTCAGCTCTCGCCCGTAAAGCACTTGCTCGCCTTGGACCTTCCTGCGCCGTCGAAAACATTCCTTTCTCAGAGCAGTTCTACACAGATTACCCTACACGCATCTAGCGGCGCGCTCTATTTCATCATCAAGGGAACACTGATTTCTTACGATCTCTCTGGAACTGTACCAAAGCTTTCTTCTGAGTTCGTTCTTCCTGCGCCAGGCGTCGACGCATTCCTACGAACCGGACAGGATGTGATCTTTACTACATCGCAAGATATGTGCAGAGTGTTCGACGTAAAATACAATTCTTTACAAGCTTTGCAGTCAATGGTCGCCGGCTCTTCTGATTCGGACCTTACCAGTCCCTCAAAGAAGAGGAAGCACGCACAGCCAGAGACCAGTGAACATTCAGCGTCCCCTTGCAGTCTGGTGGCCTACTACGCTGACATTGGACTGGTGGTAGCTGTCCGAGAGGATGAGGTCTTCGGCATGCAATTTGGAGGTGCAGCACCTCGGAAGCGAGCCAAAACTGAGGGCACTCTACTTATCGATGCTCTTGGAAAAGGCATTGCACCGGAACGAAAAATTGTTACAGGAATTGATGGCCAAGCTTGGCAAGAGAGGAAGTGGAAACTCAACAAATACGCTGCCAAGGGCAAGATTACAAAGTTTGAACAACACTTCGCCGCAGATCTGGGCATTGAACTCGAGAGTGCCGAAATAGCACAGAAACGTGGAAATGAGGTTTCGGGCGGACCGTTGACTAACGGTGGTGGACCAAGCCTTCCGGAAGATGACGCCATGGTCATCGACAAGCTTGATGAGGAGCCCGCGAAGGATGAACTACCTCGATGGAAGATGCCCATTGCTGTTCCTGGACATCAAAGACAGCAATATCGTCAGTATGCACTGTATGCACTAAGTAAGATATTCTACTGTACAGATGCTAGCGAAGCCGATCATGAACCTCGGGGAGTTTTGAAGATTGGTTTCTTCCCACCCAACGTCTTCCAGTGGCTTCTGCAGACCGGCCATCTTAGCAAGGAGTCCATTCGTCGATCACTCCTCGACGAAGCAAACGGCCAGATTCAGTCAGTGCCGACTATCATTGACGGTGATATTGTCAAGGCACTTGTTGATTACGATTCTGATTTGCACATACTCTCTGCTGTCTTGAACCACACTCAATTCCTTCCAATCGGCGAAGTCGTCCAGGCTATCAAGCTTCTCATCCAGAGTATAGATGACGAGCCGGAGCAAGCTCAAGAAACGAAGCTATTGACCAATGGTACTGCACCAGCCGAGGCCGAGATGGATGTCGATTTCGCCTCGGAGTTAGAGGCAGCCTCGCATGAAATCGACCACGCCCTGTCAGTTCTCGACCATGGTCTCCTGACCCGGAGTCACACCTTGCGACCTGCACTCATTCGACTGCACACTTTCCCTGCCTCGATCATCAGCTCAACACTTCGATCCATGCTGCCACGACGGGATCTCGAATCACTCATTCGCCTCTTGCATCTTGAGTTGAAGAATGGAGGCTGGTCATCACCATTGGGCTTCGTTGATTTCGAAACCGCTGGTGGTGACAATTCTGGAGAAGATCCGGATGATCATGCTGTTTCTATTATTGCTTCCCTACTTTCGAGCACGCTTGATGCCATTGGCGCCGGAGCTTGGCTCGCGTCGGTCGGCTCAACCTCTGGATGCGAAAATGGTGACGGCATGCTCAAATCATTGAACAAGGACGCATCCGTCGCTCTCAGTGGTTTCTTTGAAGCGCACTTCATTCGTGGTCTACTATCTGAGTTCCTACGCTACGCATCTACGGTGCCCGCTTCAAACAAGCCTTCCGTTCAGACTTTGGAGATCCAGGGCAAGCCATTTGGAGTCACAGGTAAACTGAATCGAGAGGAGGATCTGCCTATGTTGCCGCTCGGCGCAAAGGCAGACCAGGGTGTAGAAAAGATGAAGAATAGTAAAGGCGGCAAGAAGGAGCAGCGGAGCAAGCGGGAAATGGGCATGCTCATCAGTAAAAAGGTGCCAAAGTACAGCTTCGAGCGCATTGTCGTTTGAAACACTGTATCATCGCTGTCAAGTTTCTGTAGCATCTCAAAATCCTCGTTTTCGCAGTTTTAATGAACAAATACTACCTCTGCTTGTTGATGCTCAGTCTTTCATGCGTGATAGGATAATCTACACGGGTTCATGCATGACAAACGATGAAAAACATTCTGTGTATTAAAGGACTACTATCCGGCAAGGGCCCCTAGCCAGTTAATGGCAATGTTACTATTTTGGTAACAAAAAGTTCTCGACCCCTTCTTAATACACGATCACCACTTCGACTATGAATTCCATCGTCAAAATAACAAAGTTTTCGGTTATCTCGAGAACATAAGCACCTAATGAACACGACTTTTGATCAGCAATTATTGATGACTTTGTATGGTTGAAGAAGTGGCTGACATGCAGTTCGCCCGGACCTGAGTCGTACCGAAAGCAGATCTGCAGGCCGAATGGCCCTGGCGTAGGCAAAGGGGGGTGAGCGCTAAGTTGTATAGCTGCCTTGGCATGATGTTTGACCAATTGCAAAGCATACTATGACGTGACTCGGATGTCCCAAGATGCCGACCCGGACTTCCTCACGGACAATCGGGAAATTCCATGATAATTGGTTGAAGAATTCACCCTTGTTGCCCATCTTCGGCCGACAATGGCCTGAAGGTCTCGTCTTCTCTTTCCATTCTCTTCAGCTTCTGACGTATAGGCTCGTGAGACAAACTCGAGTCCTTGCCGTCACGATGGCATCTTCTGCGACAAAAAGGAATACTGATGAACGAGATGAAGCGGACTCTAACACGACTGCAAGACCGACACCAAGTGAGGAGCCGGAACAACCTACTGGTTATCAACAGAATGTGTCTTCAACCGAAGCGGATGAGAAGAAGAAAGAGAAGAAGCCATCGAAATTGAAAGCAGCATGGGGAAAACTAGGATTGGACGTTCCAACTCTTCTCATGATGGGAAAAGCAGCATTACCGCCGACTATTGCGCTGTCCATGTATCAAGCAACCGATGTTGCGCAAACATACACGACGCTGGGATACCTCACGGCCATTGTGTCCATTCTTGGTTTCTGTATCATGCCACGCGCAAAGTTCATTCAGACTATAACCATGAACATACTCGGTACTTGTATCGGAGCAGCCCTTGCAATGCTTATGGTCTGGACCGGCGTAAAGGCGCGGCAACACACGACCGATCCTGCCGCACCTCCACAAGCCTACAATTCTTCTCAGTCTGCTGTTCTCGCAGTTTGGCTATTCTTTCAGATATACGTGGTCAATACTATGAAAGCAAAGTTCCCACAACTTGCCTTTCCCACAATAATATACGCCATATTTGTCAACGTTGCGGCAACTAGCGGCTTCTTGTTCAGGACAGTACCGCAGTGCCAGGCATTCGTGCGGAGGCTATTGGAAACGTTCTTGACAGGATTTGCAATCGCGACAGCTGTAAGCTTGTTCATTGTGCCTGTCACGTCGCGGAAAGTCGTAATGAAAGAGTTCGCAGGGTACGTTGGATTGCTCAAGGGAGCCCTAGGTGCTCACAAGGCCTATTTCACTAGTCTTGAAACTAGCGATATGTTTGCTCAGGAATATGTGCCAGATACAGGAGACAAAAAGAAGAAAGAATCAAAACCAAAGGTGAAGCCAGAAATTGAGGCTGTCAAGAAGATGACTACAGCACTGCAACAACTGCACGGCAAACTTTCCGCAGATCTCCCATTTGCGAAACGAGAGATTGCATTTGGAAAGCTGTCGCCTGATGACTTGGAGGTCACGTTCAAAAACCTCAGATCAATTTTGCTACCGGTCCTGGGCTTGGCATCAATCATAGATCTTTTCGAACGCAGTGCGGAAATTAACCATTGGGACGGGCATGAAAACGAGGATGACGAGGCCCTTCGCAGACAAGCTGTAAACGAATGGAATGAGATGTTCAGGTTTGCGCACGAGCCGCTCAGCCACATATTTCAAGCTCTTGATGATGGTCTTTCCCATGTTTTCTTGAGATTGCAGCTGGCGAAACCACCAAAGAAGAAAGGAAAGAACCAAGAAGATGCGGAGGCAAAAGGAGACTCTGTCAAACCAGGAGATGCTGGATTTGTTGAGCATCTTCAAAAGCAGGCGGACGCATTCTTCAGTACAAAAGAGTCTACACTCCACCATTGGGTCAAAACAAAGGGAATCAAGCTCAGAGATGACTACTTCACATGTCCCTCGGCTATCGATGAAGAAACCTTGAAGCTTATCCCCAGTATCACGACAAGGAAGCGAGACCAACGCCAGCTCTTCATGCTTCTCTACATCATGTTCTTGCTCCATTCGATAAGCCGCTCAACGCTCGAATTTGTAAAATTTGCTGATAGCAAAGACCAAGCGACCATGAAGAACCAGCTCATTTGGCCAGGCGGGCGACGCTTCAAGAAGTGGCTGAAGAGCATCTTCCAAAGTCAAGACGCAAACTCAGACGATGAGACGACGGTCGCTGGATTTGACAGAAACAAGACTACTGTGTACATGGGAGAGGCATTCAATAAAAAGAAGGACCCAGAACATCTACCACCCGCCAATGCTTGGGAAAGATTTGGAGACCGGTTACGCAGGATCCCGGCCTTTCTCCGCAGTCCTGAATCAGCTTTTGGATTTCGTGCCGCTTGTGCTACAATGAGCTTAGCTATCATAGCCTTCTTGCGCCCGACACAGCGGTTCTTCATCGAACAACGCTTAGTGTGGGCCTTGATCATGGTTGCCATTTCCATGACACCCACTACGGGTCAGGCAATTTTCCAGTTTATATTACGTATTGTCGGAACAGCTGTAGCGATGGTTTTTGCGTGGCTCATCTGGTACATTCCTGCTCAAAAGACGCCCGGCGTACTTGTTTTCCTCTGGGTTTTCGTTGCGATTGGATTTTACATTCCAATTAAGCGTTTAGACTTGGTCATTGTCGGAATCATTAGCGTTGTCACTGCTACTATGATTGTCGGCTACGAACTCCAGGTCCGCAAGATTGGCGAGCAAGCAGCCACAGCAGGAACAGGCCAACCTGCATACGCCATCTACATCCTAGGCCCTTACCGTCTGGCTACTGTCATTGCCGGTCTTGCAGTAGCATTTTTCTGGACAATCTTTCCTTACCCAATCACCGAGCATTCTGCTGTCCGCCAGCAGCTCGGTGGTGCACTATATCTCTCTGCAAATCTGTTCTCAATTATGCACGAGCAAGTCATGGGTCGTATTCGAGGCGAACTCGGTGGCGAAGAAGACAGTAAAAAGGACAGCCCAGGATACCAGCTAGTCAAAGCCCGAAATAAGGTCTTTGCCAAGCAGATGCTCACTATCCAAGGATTGAAGATGCATGCTGATTTCGTGAGGTGGGAATTTCCATTCGGAGGCAAGTTTCCAAGGGAAGAATACGAAAAGATCATCACACATGTCGAGAAGTACGTATCGCCTCTTCCTCAAAGGAACGCCAGAAGCTAACCGTTTGAATAGTATCGTCAACTACACAGCCCTCCTCGGCTACGCATCCGAAGCCTTTACCCACCCCTCACTAACCCAGCAATCCTCGGACCTAGAACTCAACGACAAAAACAGCAAAGTCCAATGGTTCCACGACCTCCGCCGCGTAATCTCCGACGCAAAAGTAACATCCCACGAAACAACCTCCTTACTCGCCATGCTCTCCTCCTCCATCACAAACGCCCAGCCCCTTCCCCCTTACCTCCGCGCACCCCCCGGCGCCCAGCTCTCCCGCAAACTCGAAATAGTGGACCCCGAGATCCTCAGCCTCAAACATATCACAGAACCGGGTTACGCGGCGTTTGCTGTCATGGCTGTTAGCACGCGGTGTATCAATATGGAGATTGAGCGGCTGTTGAAGGCAGTAAAGGGACTTGTGGGCGAGTTGGATTTTTCGTTTCATATTGTTAGCACGAGGGAGGAGGAGGGGGAGTCGAAGGAGACGCTTGTGCAGAGGAGTAATAGGAAGATGGATTAAGTGTCTTTGTCCCTTTTTTTGAGTTGACATTTTGTGTGCATGGTTCTTTCTCTCCCTTTTTTTGGGTCGCCTTTTTGTATAAGTTGAGGCATAGAGGGGTAGATAGGACATTACATAATGTGTATATGTATGTATGTATGAGAAGGGAGAGAGGCTCATTTTGGGGTCTCATTTGGGGGGAGGTTGAAAACGATATCCGTACACTTCACCAAAGCAAAGAGGTATGTGTATATATAAGGAATGTTCTAATTATTACTCATTTCAGACTATTCTATAATCGCATTACTTTTCGTTCATGTACCGCATTCGTTTCTTCGATCCTTCATTTTCTTTTGTGGTGGTTTGCACAAGGGAGTTTTTTTGCTCCATCTACTTGCATCCTACCGTCCTCGCCGAGCGAATCGGCTTATTCGGACCAAACGTGTTGCATGCGCCCCCAACCGTAGCAATAGTAGTGCTATCACCTTTGCAGTTGTCGTCGTCGAATACAATGACTATTTGCATCATTTTGATTAGTATATTCAACCAGAAACAAAAGAAAAAACAAAGAGTGCGAAAGGGAGGGGGAATGAAGAAGAATGAGAGGAGAACTTACCACTGCATCCAGCAGGCAACGTTGCAATATTATCGGCGGTGACTCTGAATGAATCGGTGTTTCCGCTGAAGACCGGCGATGTAGGGTAGCATTTACCGTCCGTGGGCATATATAAGACTGTTGTGGCCTTGCCGCTGCATGTTGAGCCGCCCCAGACGGTGATGGGAAAGCCGTTGTCGAGGCTCGAGGCTCGGACTAGGGGAGCTGCGGTTGTGGTGGCAGCAAGGAAGAGAGGTAGGGCAACTGTGGAGAAATGCATTTTTGTTTTGCGTGGTGGGAAATCTGGAAGAAAGATTTCTCGGTTTGGAGGAAAGGGGGGAAGTAGAAGAGATATTATTTGGAGGGTTGTTAAAGGTTGGGTGTGTAGGAGATTGTGTCTTGATTGCTTGGATGAAGATAGCAGAGATAGAGGCTTTCTTTTTATACATCTGTCAATGAGTACATGACAGAGCATATGTCATAAGAGTTGCATGGATACTATCATTCTTTGCCGGCTAAGCAAAGGAGTCTTACCGTTTGAATGCGCTTGCCCAACCTTTCCGCGGCGGTTGCATTATTGGCAATTGCAGTAGTCACAGGCCCACCACTAGTGGGTTACATGGATGGTGGGCGTGAGCGGGATACGGTGAGCCTCGTGGTTACCCGCCCTGTGCTGCTTCTCCATCATGGGCGGCTTCTTTTTGGTCGAAAGGATCCGACGAGATCCGTTCCTTCTTTTTTAGCGAGCGGTACAGTCAGCATAGGCTATGCAACCCGCGGTATCCCGAATAGCAACGTGAAAGTGTCTAGGTGCGATCCTGGCTTGTTTGTATTTTGCCTGTAAGCCAACTTTGAACATGGCGGGCGGAGAAGCTTCCGTGAGAATGTTGTGGTGGCTGAAAGTCCAACGCTGGGCTTTGACCCCCAAGCAGAGTTGATCCTTCTTTGTTTGTGCACTTGGTTTTCCCTTTGGTTCCTGAACACAAATTTCTCGAATAATAGAAGAGGAATAGGTAGCGTGCATTGTTGACACGCCAGCATAGCGTGACGCAATAGTTGCAACTTTGTCGGCTGACTAGTACTCGTAAGTTTGACCATCGGCTGTATATGCTGACTACTAGCCCGAGCCGTAAAATCAGTTCACCTATGTACGCATGATTGGCCAAAAACATGCCAAAGGTCGGGCCTATTGATAGGAATCACATCTTCAATAGTCGCGTCTTGTCCAGGATCGTCCCGCATTCATTGTGTAACGTGCAATCCATGAGGTTCGTCATAGCAGGCAGATCCGAGCACGCCAAAATTCCTATGTGTAAGCACGAGCTGTTGGATACATGGGCTATTTTCCTTTGACATGTCAGTTGCCAAATGAAGGCCATGAAATCGCACTCTTCCTGTAGCTAAGACGCTCCTGCCGCACTCTGTATAAACGATAAACTGTGGTGAGGGTCTAGACAAAATCCTTCCAGAGACTGTCCACTGCAAGCAGCATCTACCCATTCCTTTGCATATGCAAGGCCCGTAGTACATGTATGCGCCTTTTCGAACCAGCTATTTGGTGCTAGACCGGGTGATGATAGTCGTTGACATGACATCGGCGTTCGTTACCTGATGTGGATCCCATTGCCGGCCCTAGTAATGGTGGATCTCTCAAGACTAAGTAGACGTTCCGTGCCGCGCGCTAGGCCCTAAGGAATGCAAAAGGACGCAAGGTGGATCATAATGTCATTGACGATGATGTGTTTTAAGCCCGAGTACAAGCTGAGCAAGTGGCTCGGATATTGGCAGAGTAGGGTCTTGTTGCGAGACTCTGCCCCTTCATCCAATCCTCTTTCTCCTTAGTTCCACGCTTCAAGTCCTCTTCGTTGGCTAACTTATGGCAGGATTGGAGGTGGACCGTCATGCTGGGTGCATCGCCAAAAGAGGCTCGGAGGATCTGACAACACGCCATCCTGACCCACATGCTATAAAATTTAAATACTTACCGATCGTGTCCTCCAGCCTCAGAGAGCAGATGCGAGATTCCTGAACTTAACCATAGGCTAAATGTGAGCGAGCAGAGGACTTGATTCCAGGTGCTGGCACTGGGGTCGTGATACCGAGACGCTTAATCAAGTGGTGATATGTTTAGAATTGACGTTGGGGTATTGGGGGATGGGTGCGGTCGGCGATGCAGCTGAATGTGCGGCTTATCCATTGGAATCCTGAATTCCAGCAGGGTGGTAATCCGGCCTGCGCCGGTACAGGCTAAATTGATCCAAGAAGCTAGGCATGCCGCTTGAATTCTTGAGTGCATATTTTGAGTTGGAATCCGGGTTGGTGGATGAGCGAGAAATGAAGAGCTCGATGGAAACCATCTGAGATTGAGGCTGATGTTCATCACCCCACCCCACCACCCCACCCAGCCATGTCCAACTATCGCCGTGGGGGTTACCCGCTGCACATTACGATCAAAATTCGAACGGACGACAAGAGTTTAACTTACCGAAGCGCTAGTCACCCGCTCTCCCCCATCCTTGCACAAAGAATGCCTAAAGCTGATTCCTATTGTTGCTTTCTTCACCGCATCTCTAGCTGACGAGAGAGACCAGTCACTCCAGATAAGAATTTAATTTGGAAATACTAATGTGCTGCGATATGCTGGCCGACCAGCTCGCATACAACGTCAGTTTTTCCACGATCTTCTCGCATTCCGCGTGTAGTGAGCCTGATTGTAGGGTTGGCATATATGTCGAGCCAGTGACTATTTTTACCACACAACATTTACTCTTGCGTCTCCATAGTCACCGCCCGTCATGGGTCTAAATATGCCTCTGTCTTTGAGCCACGACTCCTTCAATCCAGTAACAAGGTTGATGTTTCCTTTCCAGCAATCAGCTCCACGCTCGTCTTGCCCTGTATGCATCAACCAAACAACCCTGCGCCTGCCAAGACGGCACAACAGTACGCCGTGGCTCCATGAGATGAACTTGGTATAACGGGCTGCCATACCTGTTCGTTCTTTGGTTGGCGCCCTCTTCATTGTCTCAGTGACCATTGTCTGGCCGCAGTCTTCAATGAAGACGTAAGTAGGCGACATGCGGTAGACTCGCCACCCGTATTGTGCAGCCTCGTCTTTGAAGAACCCCGGGTTCTTTGGGATAGCTATCGTAGCAGGGCCTGATGCTCCGCAAATAGACCCCTCGATATGGCCGATTGCAGTTTTGTATAACATAACAAATAAGCGCTGGGAGCTCATAAAAGGTACAATACGCGAGTGCTCGAGTGGCTTTGGCGGACTGCGGGCCGCAGGGAGGCATTTCTGACGTCAAGTAAGCTACGTAGCTGATATCAAGCACTGCATACCCTACTTACGCTACTGATGACAGCGTATTCGCTATCAACAAGACGCTTCAGCATGATCTGTTGCGTCTCTGCGTCTGCAGCTGCCAGTCTAGCTTTCATAAAGACAAGCTCCAGGATTGCAATAGATCGAAAGATGACGTAGTCTCTCAAAGTAAGCTTTGAGGATCCCTTCAAAACAACAGCAATGTAAATCAACGAGAAGAAGTTGACAAACGGCGTGTCTGACCAGATGAATTGCCCTGCACGCCGAAGAGCCATAATGGGCATGACAAAACTCTTCTTCTTGCATGCCACTGCAGCGGATGCTAGGAACGTCAGGCCGAACGTAGCTGCAATTAGCGCATTCGGCACTCCTGTTGAAGAGCTAGGTTCATGACGATTGCCGAAGCAAGCGAGGCTATCAAGAGGATAAACCCGGTGTTTGTAAAGTACAGCTCAGCCAGCTCGCCATCTTGATCTCTGGAGAAGACAGACGTGTAGCCGTCAAGCATGACAGAAGTATCGATAGCAGCCTTGTCTTTGGCAACAATGAATATATGATAAAGGATGGCTGTGCCGTTACTCATTTCCTTTAGAAAGACGGTAATGCACGAATGCAGCAACAATGCGCTGGCAAAGTTGATTTCCTGCTTCCATGGGACGGATGGCATGGCTGTTGCGAGAGAGAGAGAGAGAGCGACGGAAGGAAGAGGCAAGATTGTGGATAGCAAGGCTGGAGGGGGCCTCGCTGGGGGAGGCCTAGTTGTCCGTATGTGTGTATTGTGGCGCACAAGCTGCTAACTGTAAGGAGATGAGACTCCAGCGCCACAACTGGAATAGTTAGATGAGTAGCATTGTAAATCTTGTTCATCTCAAAGTTGGAAAGAGATGATTATGGTTTGCTTGCTATTGAGCCGGCTGACTTGCTGGGAAAGCGCGGAAAGTCGAAGAGCGAAAAAAAAGCAGAGATTGCACGGAAGCTGTGAATTTGCGATGAGAGCCCGGTGTCTTTGTAGCTCGATCGTCTCAGATAGTAATTGTCGTATATAACCACCACGGCGATTGTGATAACCCCACCTTTGATAGCAAACCCAATTCTTCTTCATGAATACCACCCAAAACGCCATATTGCAATGCATGTTCCCTCTGCTGTATGATACATCCCGCCTCTTTCTGCTTGCTGCCCCTCACCTAAACTTGGCTGTGCCTGGTACATCCTTGATCTCCTCAAACTTGGTGCCCATCTTGACTACACTGTATCTGATAAGACGCGGATCCAGACTCATGGTCCTGCGCAGGGCGTGCTGAGCGCGGGCACTGGCATCGAAGCGCATAATGAAGTGGTGGCCGTAGTGATGTGTCGATTGCAGCTTCTTGGCTGGCTTGGGGAGCAGAAACGTTCCCCAGTTGGAGACGCCGCGCACAACGCCCTGCTGATCGAGAACGATTTTGCCGGCGGTTTTGGCGATTCTAAATAAGAGGTCGGGTCAGATGAGAGTGTATTTCGAAGGCCAGGTCCATGGTATGTGGGGATTTACTCTTTGACTTCGGAGAGGCGGCCAGGCCGTACCTGAAGCACTCGTCAGCACATTGACACATTGTGGGCAACTCAATGGGAACAATTTATGTCATACCACTCCGATCATTTCGTACAGCATGTCTGGGGTCGGATTGCGCGCGGGTCGCGTGTGGTTGTCAGTCTGGATAGCCGCTCTCTCCGTCGCAAAAAGTGTTCGAAAGCGGCCAACCTTTCCGCCAAACCGCGGAAGCGCCCCACTTTTTTTACTAGGTCTTGGCGCGGCCGACTTACTGCTGCTATCTTGCCTATTCCGCCAAAGCTTCCCTCGATATACCTCTGAGGCTCCCGATTTTTTTCTTTCTCTTGCTACATTCACTGAAAAAATGGCCGCCCGTCTCTCCATCGCCCTTGCCGCCCGTCGAATCTCTTCCGTGGCTGCAAAGAGGCCCTCGCTAATTGTGTGTCAGAAGTGGCAGCAGGTTGCTCCAAAGCAACGGCTATTCTCGGTATCTGCCGCACGTATGTTACTTCCACAGTGCAATTGAGTCGCAACAAGACATCTCAAGTCTTTATACTTCGGACTGACGGTTTGTATAGTCAAGGAGAAGAGGTATACTGAGGACCATGAGTGGATTGAGCTGTCCGCTGATGGCAAGACATGTACGTCGACTTGCTTTAGTCCCCCCGCAATCCCCGCATCCCCAACCCCGACATACATCTTTTCTGCCTTGTCGCACAAAAGACGTATATAATGGGTCGCGTGCGCTGACATGTTGCGATACAGGCACTCTGGGCATCTCAGAATACGCAGCCAAAGCCCTCGGCGACGTTGTCTACATTGAGCTTCCACAGGTCGACATGGAAGTGGCCGAGGGCGACGTCATCGGCGCTGTTGAGTCTGTAAAGTCGGCTTCGGACATTCTCACTCCCATCGCTGGTGTTGTTTCTGAAGTTAACGAGGCATTGGAGTCCGCGCCAGGCAGTGTCAACAAGGACCCCGAGGGCGATGCCTGGGTCGCAAAGATCGCTGTGTCAGCGGAGCCCAAGGGCAAGACTATGAGCAAGGAAGAGTATGCCGCCTTTACTGAAGAGTAAAAACTCCAAAGAAACATAGTGACAGGCTAGTGTACATGGGTGGATAATACAAGATACCTGCGCACCATCTTCAACAGGGCGCGCCAAATACATGAATTTCACATCTTGATGTTCGTTGTGCCATAAAGGTCATTGAATAGCCCGCTGGCACCAGCCAGTTCTGCTGCATTTCCGGGCGTCAGCATCTTTTCTGACCCTTGCCTTTTGTCATAATGGTCCCTCTCACATACTTATTCGTCGTCTTTTTAAAACGCCTTCATGTTCATCGGGCCCCCATACACTACTCAGCGTCGCCCTAGCAAGCCCTTTGCAAGAAAATAACTAATGGTTTCCAACTCATCTCTCCTAGATGCCATGACAAACTATGTGCTCCTCACTCCGTGGAGACGCCTTTGCATTAGATTATCTTTGAATAGCCTGTGACGTCAATTTTGGGTAAACGCAATCGTATACTTATTCCGATCCTTGAGAGCAGCCAACATGTACTGCAACATCTGGGCTGGACACTATGGTGGGGAAAAGAGGCATTGTCCACCAATCGAGGATGACTAGTAAGCGGCCATGGTCGGTATTTACTAGTTGCTCGCATGCCGAAAGAGGCAAGACCACTGGGTCCGGGGACTCTACCAACCTAATCGCGGAACACGTAATCCTTGTGCTTGTGCAGGCAGCAAAGCATGATTTTTGACTCAAATGGAGCATATGGCGATGATATGTCTCAGGCCAAGTACATACTTAGGATTTGATATGAGGGCCGTCTGACGTCATTTGGTTTATCCATATTACCACGACCACCTCAGTCCCTCAACTCCACCGCACCTGCCCGCCACTGATTTTGATTGCCACTCTACCTAGAGGAAATCTAGTAAAATATATGCTGATGGAATTTCGACCGCCTAAATCATGCCCAGGTCATCATGCTGTTCTCCCACGGTGACAACCATTCATGCCTGTATCGAGGGTTGGGCATACCGGGAAAATATTTCGATTATGCAGCTTCCAAGTAGTCCGAGGCGAACTTTCATGCTGATACTGCATCCCAGGTCATTGACCAAAACCGGTATACCTTGCATATGCGTAGAAGGCCATCCCTGTGACAAGTCCTACGACACATGAGCCCAAAGGTTCCGTGGAAGACAGCCTTTACAGATATCAAAATATCAGCAGCTACGAAACTTAGCAATCAAATCCCAGGAGAATGCGAAAAGGGCCGTAGAGAACTAATTCACGTGGCTACAAGATACGTACTCTTTGATATTGTCCTAATCACTAGAGGTCGCCAACGTCGGGAAGGAGGAGGTTGTAATCCATAAGAATCGCCGATGACCCCGAAGATTAAAGCCAAAAATAGTATTCTTAAGCGAAAGTCTGACTGAAACGTAGCGAGAGGGCTCAACAAGGCCGCTTCTGATTGATGTACCGTACTTGTGGCCTGAGTGAGGGATCAAAAAGCTATGAGGTAAGACTTTCGTCAGACACACCGCATATTATCACAATTGTATACTCACCCCGCTCTTTTTGTAAAAAATATAATTAGATTGCTACACCCCTAGACATGCGTACAGAAAAAAACTCTCTAGCACAACGAACACAAAATGCCAAGCTCCATCAATATCGGTTCCCTTCGCGAAAGGAAAACAATCCAACAACTTCCCATTCCCGCTCGAAAAGGACACAACGCAATACTGAACTCCGATTATACCCATGACATTATCGATGCAATCGGCACGTGGGGATGCCAGCGATTGGTCATAGTGCACTCCAAAGCCCTAGACGAGAACACTGATGTTCTCAAGAAACTGAAAGAGAAATTGGGCCTTTTTGCAGTAGCTTGCAAGTCCGGTGTTGGTGCACACTCACCCTACGATGATGTTTTGGAAATAGCAAGATTAATAAACGAGAACGATGCAGATTGTCTCGTCAGCATTGGAAGCAGCAGCTACTCGGACGCATGCAAGATTGCGCGCTTAATGCATGCCAACCTTGCGGCGGATAATCTCACAGTAGAAGCAATGGAAGCCCTGGTTGACCAAGAGAAAGGAAAAGCAGATGGACTGAAAGATCCAAACGTCAAACTCATTGTTGTGCCAACCAGTCTCTCTGCCAGCGAGTGGAATAATAATTCCTCAGCAACAAATCCCCAGACACTCAAGAAGCAGCATTTTGCCAGCGAGCACGCAGCCCCGGATCTGATCCTTCTCGAGCCAGAAGTAGCAGCTACATCGCCTCGAAAACTCTTGCTCTCAAGCGGTATACGCGCAGTGGATCACTGCATCGAAACAGTACGTTTTCTTTTCTTCCTCCTCTTCAAATGACAACCAAGAAACCCCTACCCTCCAAAAAAAAAAACTCTTCCCGCTAACTTACACCTCTTCTCTCGGTAGATGTTGAATGAACTCTGCACAGGCGAAATCTTCTTCCATATGGAAAATGCCCTCCAAACACTCTTGCGTGGCCTAAAAGCCTATAAAAATGGCGAGGCTCACAACAAGTACTCTGAGCTCCTCGAAGGCATCGCAAATTGCCAACTTGGGGCTCGAGACGCTATGATGGGACTGATGATGTGGGATATCCCAATGGGCCTTTCACATGCCATTGGGCACCAGTTGGGCAGCATTTGCGGCGTCATGCATGGCGTTACTTCATGTGTGATGCTTGCTCCTGTGCTGAGGTATACGGCGGACAGGTCAGATAGGCAAAGGGAGGTCCAGAAGCGGGTGTTGGAGGTTTGGAATAGGGCGTTGAGTGCTGACGAGGATGATCTTGCGGATGCGGTAGGCGATTTTGTCAGGTATCTTGGGTTGCCGAGTACGCTCAAGGAGGTTGGTGTTGAGAAGCAAGAGGATATCGATAGGGTGGCTGAAAGTACACTGACGGATGTGTTTGGGGCCATGGAGGGCATGGGCGGAAAGGAAGATGTGCTTGCTATCTTGGACTCTGCAAGAGGCTAAAAACGACATCGCAGGCCTCAGTTTTATTTTACAAATTCTTTTTTTTTCTTTCTTTTCAATCAATCTTACTCGTTCAGCAAAACTGCTCGCTTCTCAGTCGGAAAATACAACTCTCTTAGATCCCCCAAGGGCAAGTCCTCAAACACCGCCACATCCTCGACAATCGCATTTGCCAGCTCCGCAGGCAACTGCCCCTTGCCCACCCTCCTCATCGTCCTCCAAATCTCATAAAGCCTACTACTCTCCTTAAGAAACTGCCTCGACCGCCTGAACCACCCAATCTCGAACCACTCAGCCTGCGCACCCTCGCAAACAGGTGTCTCCCACTTCCTCGTCTCCTCGACATCCATCTGCCCCCAAATCGGCACCAAAAGCTGCGCCTTCGCCAACGCCCTGACAACCGGCCCCGTCGCTACATCCCACGGCACCACCCTCCGCACCGGCACTGCCTTCCCCTCCCTCTCACAACCCCGCTGTTGCTGCTGTTCACCCGGCGGATCCCACATATCCACACAAATCCTCAACAACGCATCATCTAGAATCCAATACAAACTCTCGCGCTGACTATTCAGAAAGCGCTCGAGTGCCACGCCCGGATGCCGTAGCACATGCACGCCCCAGTCTACGAGCAGACACGCGGCCGCGGCCCACGAGCCCGACGCAACGACGCTGGCGAAACGGCGCACTGTGGCTGCGAATTCGCGGGTGCGGTGGAACAGCGTGGTGTAGATGCGCGGGATACTTGAGAGGCCTTGCAGATCGGCTAGGATGACGGTGTTCATGCTAGCGATGTCGCGGGTGAGGGCCAGGGCTGCGGCTGTGGGGGACCATGTTGTGTGTGGTAGGGGTGCGAAGAAGGGGGATGGATTTGTGGGTTTTTGAGTACTACTACCAGTACTACTGCCACTGCTGGTGCTGCTACTACTGCTACTTCCGCTGGTGCTGCTGCTTGCTGCGTGGGAAGAGCTAGTAACAGAGGACGATGAAGATGGAGAAGGTTGCTGCAATAGCGTTGGCAGCATGGTGAGACAGGGAACAAGGTATGTAAGGGTTCCTTGCGACGGCTTGCGCTGATTGTTCTTTTTTTCCCTGGGGTCAAGGCCAAATGCGTGGTAGGGGTGCGGGTTGCGTGTCCCTGCGAACCAGACCCTCGTTGTCGGCGGGTGCCCCGGAAATAGGTAGTGGTATTACGTCATCAAGTGCTGGGGGCTAGTGGGTAGTTTTTGCGTGCGGAAACGGTGTACGTCCTGGATGTAGCTTTGGCTTCTATACTATGAGAGAAGTGACAACGGATTTGATGTATGTTATAACTAGCGGTATGTTTGATTTTGGCCCCACCCGGCACGTGATAGGGTTTGTATACAGGATTAGACGAGATTGATGGACCCTGAGCGGGCCTGTTACCCATGTTTTAAGGAGTGGGGCTACTTATCACTACGATATCAGGATTGGGTCATGTTTTTTTTTCTCAGTCTTTACACGGAATCACCAAAATCCATGAGATTGAATTCAGACGATGTTGTAGCAGATGAAAATCCGCGTGTTTTAAATATCATTGATTGACGTCGCAAACTTGATGCAACTATTTACTAAGAAAGAAACTCCAAAGGTACCGCTCGATTTCTAAGTACCAGATAATACACATAGTACCTGTGCTTCTTTACCTAGCAAGTGCCAGAGAACCCCACAATCCAGACGGATTCGACAAGAGCAAGATCGAACGTGTAATATACCAGCCACTGACCTCCCACCCAATTCACTCAACGAAAAACCTCAAACTTCACCTCTTCCTCTTCCTCCCAGCAACCTTACTCCGTTTTCGCTTCACCACTTTCTCTACACACTCATCGCAAAACCACTTTCCCTTCGGCACCGTCTTGGGCTCCAATCCCACGCAGGTAAAATGAAACCATTCCGTTGCACAGCCGTTGCTGTCACAAGCAATCATGTCGTTGGTATCTGGTGTGCCGCAGAAGCAGTACCCAGGCTCCGTTGTTGTAGACTCTGGTGTAGTATGCTCTAGTACAACACGCTCTGGTTTAGTAGACTCTGTTGTCGTTAACTCCGGTATCGTGTTCTCTAGCGGCATAGGCTCCGGAGCATCAAGCTTTGGTGTCGTAGACTCTGGTGTAGTAGACTTTGTCGTCGCAACCTCCAGTGTCGTAACCTCTGCCGTCGTAGCCTCTCCCACCCTCCCACCATTCCTCCTCTCTTCCCACTCCTCCACCCCATCCACTCCATCCAAACCTGGCTCCTCCACCACCACACCCTCACCCCCCTTCCCTCCCACAAACCCCGCCACCGCATCTTCCCACAACTGAATCCCATGCACAGCGCAATCATGCTGACCCACCGTAACCTCACCCACAAGCCCCTCCTCTACCACCCCCTCAAAAACCTTAACCCTCTTAGCCACCTCCACCACTTCCTCCTCTTCATCCCCAACATCAGCACATCCAAAACACGCCTCACACACCCACCCGCAGCCTTCCTCAGGAAACCCCACACAAACCCAATGAAACCACCTAACCTCGCACTTTGCTTTCCGCGCACACTGCACCATCGGCCCCATGATATACGGCGGGACCTCGCAAACGCACACGCGCGGCGGAGGCGATAGCGTCAGCATTTGCGTCGGCAGAGAGAGCAGAGTCTGAGCTAGACGGCAATCCCGACAGAACCACGGTTCGTTGCTGAGGAGGTGCTGGTGTGTTAGGTCGACGCAGTGCATGTGGTAGTATCGTGTTTTGCACTTTTTGCTGGCGCAGGCGATGAGGGGGTGATGGTAGGTGGTTTCTGGGGGTGTGCCGCAGTGGCATATGGGGGTTGAGGTGTGGGATTTTGTTGCGTAGAGGTATTTTGAGGTTTCTGTTGAGGATGACATGGGTGGTGGTCGTGGTTGTGGTGACAAAAATGGAGTTGGCATTTTTTTTTGATATTGGTGTATGTGAGTGGTTGATTTTGAAGATCGGTGGATTGAAAGACGTTGGGTTGATGTAAGTATTGAGAGACTGAAGTGAACGAATACAAGATCAAATGGGCAGCGTGAAAGCGCACGGTTGCGCTTGGTTGGAGGATGACGCAGAGTTTATTGTACTGGTGACCGGCGACGAAGAAGTGAATTGACTTGACAATAGCAGGCTGATGAGAGAGGAGTGAGAGCAAACAGATCGACACCCCATATTGTTCACATTGTAAGTTTGATTGTATTGAGTAAGTCTCAGGTCTCCTGAAAGCACAGCGGCATATTGTCCATGAAATTGTATTAGTACATGCCGCAAAAGAAGTTGTCGTGATCCCATCCACAGCGTTTGCTTGCGGATATCTATGATAATCTTGGCAACTCGGCGCTTCACTCTCCATGACCGACAACCTGTCTCCTCCCGTGGACCCCCTCCCAATCTTCCCATAGGCCCTTCCAGATGTCCCTCTCACTTCTGCCTAGACCGGCAAACATTGCGTCCAGTGTCTCTCTGTGCAGGCTCGCCGTGCCGACAACCTCCCAGATGCCAGGCATCAGCTTCTCTCTGACACTCTGATCCAGCCTTCCGTTGAGCTGGAAGCGACAGAATGACGCAAGGAGTGGATACAAGAAGTTACTCGCCTTCTCGCGAGCTGCTTTGATCGGATCGTTGAGATCCTTGGATTTGCGTGATTGGTGATGTTGGTGTGCTTTTGTGATTGAAGACTGTGGGGGGTTACAAAGTGTAGAGAGCAGCCGCGTGAACTCTGAAGCGTTGGCAGCTGTGAGTCGTATGGGCTCTGTGGCTACAGTGGTTCGTAACCATGAAGGTAGTGCGCCGCTTCGACTAGCATTTGGGATGAACAAACAGAACAAGAGGCCTTGCAAGAGCGGCAAGAAGAGGTGAAAGCGTCCACCAAGGCGACCCCTGTGTACAAGTAGGATCAGGCGACTCGTATGACAAAGCCTTGAAAAGACCGATGGAGCATATCGAGAGGACAGTGCAGGGCTGCTTCGCGAAGTCAGCTTGACAAGCACGCCGAAAGCGCACTCGATACTGTATTGCGACGCGAGTGAAGGCTTATCATTCAAGATGGTGTCTATACAGCTGAGGAGGCTGTTGAATGACTCATAGTCGGTGCAATCAGCAAGTAAAGCACAGAGTTTGGGCAACAATGCCAGCTGCTTTTGTTTCAGCTCAGCATTAACCTCAAGCTTGTCGTCCATTGTTGAGACAAGGTTGTTGAGGATGCGATATGCCGCGGCAGAGTTCGGTAGCTTTTGATCAGCAGTCAACACTGCAATCAAATCCAATTTCTCGTAGACGGCGAGAGGTGTGAGTGCATCTTTAAGTGTAGTGTGCACGGTATTCTGCATAGAAACCGGGCTCCATTGTACAAGCGTGAGCGTCAAGCGTACTAGCCATGTCATATCAGGATACAACTCGAACTTCGTAACCAAGTTGTATACACGCGCGACATATTCGACGACGTCAGATCGAATCACGACGTCAGGTGCTTGGTATTGATCAAGGTCCACAGCATCCTTGATCCACGTCCGGAGCCAAGTCTGGATACGGTCGAACAACTTGGCTTCTCTCAATGCAGATATCGATAGGTCGTTGAAAGCATCGAGAGAACCCTGTAGCACATCAATGTCCGGACTGCTGAGCAACTTCTTCAGGAGATCGATGTATCGCTCAATATGCAGAAGAGTGTTCTGTTTCTGGGCTGATGATGTCGCTCGGAGAATTGAGAGCCTCGCTAATGAGCACTGATCTGTAGCCTTGGTGATGGAAAGCAATCTCCCTGTGAATTCGATGACAAACTCCTTGTTTTTTGACTGGGTTTGGTTCGGTAGAATTTGCATCAGTGTCTTTTGAACAAGCCCTCTAAGAAGCTGTAGGACGGTCTCCGTTTCCACGTCTTGTTGATGGAGTTGCTCCGCGATATCGAAAAGCACGGTGGCTTCGGTTGACACTTGTGCCGATGCATTCGGCACGTACTGGAGGTGGTCGACGACGCCCAAAAGCTCAACTGGATTGGATTTCCCGGAGATCAAAAGCTCAGTTGTACGGTCCAGTATCAACTTTCTCTGTTCGCGAGCAAGCGCCTGAGGATTGATGTGAAGGATGGCTTCTGCGACTGCAGTATAGATGCCATCATCAACATCTTGTCCTAGAGCTTTCAAAAGTGCTGCAGAATAAGCACTTTGAGTTGATGCGCTCCCGCTCTTGGCGACAGACTCAGAGAGGGACCTGCAGATGAGATCGCTAGAAATCTTTCCCAGCTGAGGAAGTCTGGACAAGACCCTGCATATCGTATCGCAGCAAGCATTTGCCTCAAGAGGCTCGAGCAAATTGATGAAGTTGCTACAGAAAACTTCTACCATGCATTTACCGTCTTCATCTCCCAACTGCGTAGGAGAGAGATTCTCTAGGATCTTTTGCATCCCATTACGGATGACATCTTCAGAACCAGGCACTGTTTGAAGGCGATCGCATGCGTTGAAGGAGAAAAGCATAGCAGCCGCTCGTGAGGACGAGTCCACATTTCGGCTTTTGTCTTTGCGTCCAGAGGAGATGTCCTTGGTAGCCTGCTCAAATAGCGGATATAATAACTCCTGCTGTTCCCGGAAAGAAGCGTGCATATGAACTGGCCAGAGATCAACTAGCAATTGGCACAATGTGAACCAAGAAAGGTGGAGCTGCGTGTAGAAGCTGTAGGCGTCATCTTGTACCCAAGTGACATAAATGGAAAACAACAGCTGAAGGTCAAACTTCAGCATCTCGACGGTGTTGTCTGATCGAATGGATTGAAGGAAAGCGGGGATGAGGACAGCGCTGCTTGCCGCGTTCTTGTAAGCTGCGAGCTTCTTGACCTTTACATCTTCTTTGGACGCTGCTTCCATTGCCTCTTTCAGTGTCGCCAAACGCCCTTCATGATCTTGAATAAGAATCTTGATTTGACCCAGAGTGAGAGACTGTTCAAAAACACCTGCCAAGGCAGTGTAGAGGGCGCGATCTTGCCAAATGATATCTTGTCGATCTTTAAGAGCCTTGCGTTTCCCATGTCTGTAGCTTTTGATCAACTGATCATCCCATCTGCGAATGAAGCCTAGCAAGTTGCGACTTCGTACAAAGGCCGACATGAGAGGGATAATAACCTTCTCTAGAATTGCTTTTCTTGTCAATTGTGAGTTTCTGGTAATTTCTGGCTGGTTCTCAGTCTTCTGGGCCTGCTTCTCATCAAGAAACCCTTGACCGCTCAACTCCACTGCAGATATCTGCTCGAAAATGAACTCAACAAGCTCAGTATGGTCTGCTTGTGTTCCTTTGCTGCCTGATTTCGATCCTATGACGAATACCGAGGAGTCAAGCTCGATCAAAGATGCAATTAGGGACCAATGCACCTTCTTCTCTTGACCTTCTGGGTATTTGACTCCGCAATGGTACCAAAAGATGGTCTTGACGAGATCTGAACCAAGAGTAACTTCATGGACTTGCAGCACACGCAAAGCAGCACTGAGAGCAGCGACCGCGGTTTGGCGTGTGATGAACTCCGGAGGAGTCGTCAGTGAACATCCCGCGCACTCAGCAAGTGTAGAAAAGACAGCTTGCAGCCAGGGTTTCTCCATGGCCCTGCTTTTCGGTGTTCGAGACGGGGATACGCGGATGACCAAATCTAATAAGTGGGGGACTGCGTCGAACAGGGATGCAAGTCTTGTTGGCAGAACATCGCCGCCATCCTCAATCTGCGCAGCTTGGAGGAGCTTCGCACGCAGAGGTTCCAAGTTGCTGGCCAACACTTGGGCGTCCCGCGGCTTTGGGGCTTCGCCCGAAGAAGATCTACTGCTGGTCTCGCCAAAGAAAGCCGCTCTCGAAGGCGCAAATAAATGCCTAGTTAATGACTTGTCCAATGCTCCAATCGCGCGACTAACTGCATAAGAAGGAACATTCGAGACACCTCCGTCGCGTAAATCCTGTAGGTATACGAGAAGATCCAATGTAGGAATAAGGCACTCTGTGCTGAACTCTTCAGCAGACGCACCAGTCTCGTCTTTTGCATCCACTGTTCGTAGATCCCAGATTCCGTAGGGTAGGGAGAGGTCGACGAATTCTGTCCAGTAGGGGTCCAGATGTGTGTTTTTTGAAGGAGTGCTTAGAATTCGGTGAACGCTCGTGAGCCAGAACCTCAGGATCCGTGAAGCTTCCGCACTGTCGGTCCTCAAGACCATCTTCATAAGCTCCGCTTGAGTAGTATCGTCGCCCTTGTTTCCTGCGGCCAAAGCGGTTATCGAGGCTACGACAGATCGAATTACGCGAAAAAGATGACCGAGTTTTGCTGGATCGAGAGTTGCCGTTCTCAAGGGTGGACTTTGCACAATTCCGCGCTTTCGTTTCTTCGATGGCTTGCTGTCTTCTCGGACGGTCGCGCTCGACTCGGAATCGTCATTCATGTGAACATCCTCGGATGCGCTTGCAGGCTGCACAGTAGGTTCCTTGTCGAAGTTCTCAACAAGCGCTCGCTCAAGAATGCTCGGGAAACTGGCGTCGCGTAAATGAGGTGCGCTTCTCGAAACAGGAAGGATTTGAATCATCCATTCAAGAAGTTGCCATGCGTTCGCATTTCCCCGCGCTGTGCGCCCTATTTCCAAATCATCCTTCAGTTTGTCAAGTATCCATCGCAGAACCCATTCCGCTCTTGCGCGCACAAGTCGCTGTATGATCCTGGCCTTTACTTCCTCTTCTGTCACAGTGGTCCAATCTTCAGGAAGACCTATTATATGCGCAACTTGTGAAATTTGTTCGTCTAGGTCGGAAAAGTCCTGGTTAATGGCTTGCAGCCGCGGGCGGGTCGACGCAGGGTCGTTCTTCGAGGCCTATTCAGATGTCAGCTACCTTCTTGACAAATTATACGTCTCTTACTCACTGTCTGGATTGGCGCCATTTTGTCACCTCACTTCCCGTTTGCAGTTGCAAAAGCTAAAGGAAACGTAGCCGGCGAGTAAAGCAGTGGTAGTAAGGTCGAAAAAAGTTGGGCACGGACCAAGCGTACCCTTGTCGTTCCTGCCAAGGGCCGGCGACGTCAAAGTTCGGCATTCCCAGCTGTCGGGCGAAGACCATCAACACCACGTCGAGCCGCTCCCATTCACCTCTCAGCACACCGAGTGCGCCGTTGCATCCATCAATTGCACTCGACATATCCGCTGCCATGGCCGAAAACAACCCCCAGCCCGTTGCGTCCATCTCGCGTACGACCCGTCCCATGAGCGAGGCTCTGCTCAACGAAAAGGTAGAATAGCCACTCCCGACACAATCCCGTGATGAAGGCATTGGCAATGTCTGGGTTCGAATTGGTGCATCTGGTTGTTTGGGAAGAATGTTCTCGTATGCAATGGCGGGGCACAATGCTCTCACGCGACTCGGATGACTGCCCATGCCAACACCACCAACCCACACCGATAAGCAGCACAAAGATTGGGTTCGAACAAGGCTACTAACATATGCCCACAGTGGGACCGCTGCCTCTCCTCAATGCTCATCCGCTCGGGTCTCGGAGTCTCCTTCGGCGTCGTCTTCTCGGTCCTCCTCTTCAAGCGACGCGCATGGCCCGCCTTTGTCGGTCTCGGTTTCGGTGCTGGAAGGGCATGGGAAGAGTGCGACAACGTCAGTTTCCCTCGACGCACCAACCTCTATCAAGCACGTAGCGTCCTAACCGCGCCAAACAGTCATTCAAGCGAGCAGCAGCACCCTCGAAAGACGGCCTCCGCGTTATCCGACCATAAGCGACTTTTGACGTGCGAGCGGGGGACATTGATCGATACCATTCGGTGTGGGTTTGGAGCTCTGCATAGTAAATATGCAGTGTACAGTAGGACATGGTATAGACCATCTGGGCAATTCAAAGCTGTTCTTCTTGACTTTTCCCATTCTATCTATATCCTCTATTCCCTTTTACCATTTGCGAACTTGGAAAGAAAACGCCCCCTCCTATCTCCCTCCCACAAACCCTTCATTAATGATAATCCTCAAACGTATACCCCTTGACTCCCTCAAGCACAGTAAACCAATGTGTAGTAAATGTAATATGCTCATACAACTCCCTCCCCGCCGCCCGTGCCTTCTTATGCCACGGCCCCACACCTCCTCGATACGCATCTTCCCTGCTATGCCAAAAACCTGCTCACGAACGTCAGTTAAACCGTGTCTTCCTCAACCACCACACCACATCACGTGGCTAATTCCAGCAAAAAAACAAGAACAAGGGAATGAAAACATACAAGTTGCCAAATTCCTCCTTTCCGCATCGCTCTTTCCAAACCAGTATTTCAGCAACCCACCGGACTCACACGCCTCTCTGTGACTCTCCTCGTCCAACTTGTACAGATGATCATTATCAATGTTGTCTTTGAGTTTGCTCCGGAAGACAACGACGTAGAAGCGTGTTTCTGGCCATTCTACACCTTCGCTTTTAACAAGTGCGCGTAGGACATCGAGCACGATGTCGAGGTTGAGCGCGGAGGTGTATGGGGCTGTAGCGTAGGTGGGGAGAGTGGGTTGGAGGGATGTTAAGGCTACGGCGAGGAGGAGGGAAGGGAGAGGCAGGGGAGGGGTAGAGAGGGACAGGTAGTGGCCGGGTTTGTTGTAGGGGGATGTGATGAGGGTTTCTGAGGGGGCTGAGCCGGGCGGTGTTATTGGTGCAGGAGCTTGGGTCGGAAATTTTGGGATGACAGCGCTGATGAGCTGAGTGTAGGCTGCAGCTTGGAAGCGGTGGGCGTCGAAATCTGTGGTTATGAGGGTTGGATCTCGAAGAGTGACGCTGCGGAGTGGGATGGATTTGTTGGGTGAAGGCGGTGTAGCCGGGAGTTCTGTTATTTTGACATTCGGTTCCTTGAGGTCCGGTGCTTGGGCTGGAAGAGCAATTGTATATCCTGGTCTCTCCATGGTTTTCTTGGAATATTTCTTCCTGAAGTTGATCTGTCAGATCTCTCTTCTTTCCCTTGTACAGCTGATGCCAGAATACTCCGTTGAGCATCCAACAATACTTACCTATGTTGTTTCTTCACCTTCCAGGCGTTTGGTACGTAGTTTTTGTAATTCTTTATTAATGTTTTTATTCGATTTCAAGTCTCGAAACTATAGTGTGTTGTTCTTTGTCACTCAAGTGTTGATTGATGATGGTACGCGGTTCGGTCATATTCCGCTCCAAGCACGTTTAATCACGCAATTCTGGTAAACGCCATTTTAGCCTCCTTGGTGACTTGGGCCCACACATAATACGGATGGCCCTAAGTCGGTATACCTTCAGTCAAAGGGTATTGGTCAGTCGTAATAGGGCGAGTCCTATACAATCTCGTTTCTTGAGTCGGTTGAGTTACTCAATCCGAGCTAGTACGTGTCCCTCTTTACCAAGTAAAGTCGTGCGGCGAGGGGACCCTGCATCAACTAAAACACGCAGGATACCCTAGTTGAAGGAAAGTCGGTGGCTACTGAGCACGTCACAGTACTTAGACGCCGTGACGCAGAAAACCCTCAAGGGTCTTGTCTAAAGTCAGTTTCATCCAATTAAATAATGATGTGAATGTGTCGATCTCGCCCAACAATCAATCAGCCCGAAGCGAATACATACATCAATCCATGATTGTCGTCAGTACCAGGTTATGCATGCGCTGATAACCAAACGGATGGTCCTCCGTGACGGGTACCTCACAGCCATACTCTTCTATGCATGTGTCAAAAGGCTTGTTCTGCAAACGGTTATCACCGGGTGGTAATGGGAGATCGGAGCCTTTAGCTCTCAGTTCTGTCTTCAACTCCATTAAGTTTCCCCAGAGAAGGAACAGTTTTTGTTCAAGCTGTCTCAGCACTTTGGGGTTGTTCTTGAGGCTGTGATGATGTCAATCAGCATGTGACTAGCAACGATCTAAAGCTCGCTTACTCTTGCGCATTCAGTTTCAACAGGTACTGTGCTGAGCTGTTGTTCACAACAACACGCAGCTTCTCAGACACACCGCCCCGAGGTACTTCTGCGTCTTCCAGCAGGAGCACGAATCCCCACTCCCATCTTTCTTTCGGGCATGTATTGTCGGCATGCTGCTTTCCAGACCGCTTGGTCCAGTTTGGATCATTTAGAGAGTGAGCAAAGAGTTCAAGTTTGGGAGGGAACACATCAATTACGCGCACACGAGATCGGTACCGGCAATTGACAAAGGGAAGTTCATAGTCATTACACTTTTCAAGTGTGCGCACACGAAGATGAGGGTTGTGTATGATTTCAGAGATTGTGGAAGACTTCATATCCACATGAGCGCATCGGACTACATCTGGGTTAGTATAGATCAACAAGAGATGACACGAGTCTCACTATTGGTATTTACGCCACTGCGTGAGGCTTCCCATTCACGGGCCTTCTTTTCAATTTCCTGTTGCTCGGCTTCTTTCTCAACCCGCTGTCGTTCTCTTTTGGCCAACTTCTTGTTGTGTGATGTTTTGGCAGAAGGTTTTTTAGCTTCACTCTGTATTTTTTCGAAAGCTGTTACACCGCCGCCACGTTTGCTCTCGTATTCTCTCCGTCGGTTGTCGATTTCTGCAATTTCCGACGCGCTCTTCAAAGAACGTATGTCGACTTGTGATTTGTTGACTTTGTCTTGATGCACTACGCCCTCAAGTTTGCCACGGGCAGACAATTTCACTCTCATGTTTCGTATGAAAACATAGTCACCTATCGCCAAGTGTTCTCTTGCCCAGTTTGCGTTTTCTTCGTACAAGGTAACGCTGAGAGTCAAGTATCCGTATGGACCTTTCCAGTGTCTATCTGCAATATGGAAGCTGTCTTCCTTTTCAGGATCGGCGTAATAAAACATGCTCTCGTTTGGAGTGTAGTCGGTAACTTTCAAGTCGACTTGACCGTGATAGTGGTAGATGTTGACAACTTGTGCTCGGATGTTCGCGAAAGTGTTAAACTGCAAGTCTTTGATCAGATAGTCCCTTTTCCCTGTTTGGGTATTGAACGCAGCCGTCGCTACATGCTGTCGTATTTGCTGGCCTGAACCAGAAGAGGCATGCTTCAGGTGTATGACAGCCATTTGCTCTGGGATTGTGGGTTGCGAAGCCCCCCAAGATGAATCGCAAGGGAGCTTTTGACTGCCAGCTTGGAAGGCATGGCTGAGCTCCGGGACAGGAATCATGTTGCTAGGGAATACGGTCATATGAGTGAATTGTCTGTCGCCAATGCATTCCATACGCCCGTTCCATTGCTTAAGCTTGGCATTACGAAGAATTATGATATCTCCAAGACCAGAGATCTTAGGGAATTTATTTGGTGGTTTGAACATGCGACCATTAATGGAGGAGTAGATACTGGTAGAGGCGTCCGCAAAGTCGTCTTGGATAGTGAAGGAAAGAACATGGTCGAGACCTTTAGAGGATTTTGGGCCATCGTAAGCGACGAGGATGCCTATTAGATTGACGCTTTGACCTTCTGATGTTGCGTCCTTGATGGCAGTGAAGCCGTTGGGCAACTGCATGGTAGCTGGGAGTGGTACCGAAAGCGGCTTAGTGTGCTATCAGGCCGTCAAAGAACAAGCACATGTCAGGACACATGCAATTACACAAAAGGAGGACGGTCTTGTAATCGTAATGACTTGCCGTGTGTATCGCATGGAATTGTGCTGAAGATATCGCCACGCCACTGGAGGGCTGGGTGAGTATACAGCCGTGATTCGGGACGAGGGGACGCGTCGTGGTGCTGATGGTGGTTGCTTGGGCGTAAGGCTCGAGCCAAGGCTAGGTGCTAGCGCCATGACCGCTTTGCCGCTTCCGCTTTCAAAATCACCCCTCTAGTTAGAAAGTTTACTCCCTTTTACAAACAAACACGACCCACCGCAATCTTGTCCGACTCAACACTCTGTCCGTCAAATCGAGTCGTTGCAGAAAATGGCCGACAAATACATCCCCGAGCACCGCCGCACGACGTTCAAGGCCAAGAGCGCGTTCAAGCCGGACGAACTCCGTCGTCGCCGTGAAGAGCAACAGGTCGAGATCCGTCGAGCAAAGCGTGAAGAGAATCTTGCCAAGCGCCGTGGTATTTCAGGACGAGACCAGCCCGGTGCCTCACTGGGCGCTGCCCCCGACAGCGACGATGAGGGCGGCAACATCGAGAGCCAGGTCCGTATACCCCCACCATGCCGTGCTTTGCCCCCTCGCCCTTGTGGCGGACTTTGTCAAAGAGGCTCGAGACTGACACAATGCGATAGCTGAACGAAGAGCTCCCCCAGATGGTCAAGGGCGTCTTCTCGGAACAGATCGATGAGCAGATCCAGGCCACAACCAAGTTCCGTAAGCTCCTCTCCAAGGAGCGCAACCCGCCCATTGAGCGCGTTATCGAGACGGGCGTAGTGAGCCGCTTTGTCGAGTTCCTTCGCTCGCCGCACACACTGGTACAATTCGAGGCCGCCTGGGCCCTTACCAACATCGCCTCTGGTTCGGCACAGCAGACACAGGTCGTCATCGAGGCGGGCGCAGTGCCCATCTTTGTCGAGCTGCTCAGCAGCCACGAGCCAGACGTGCGCGAGCAGGCTGTCTGGGCCCTAGGTAACATTGCTGGAGATAGCCCCGCATGCCGCGACTTTGTGCTGCAGGCGGGTGCTCTCCGCCCGCTGCTTGCTCTGCTGGGTGACAGCCGCAAGCTGAGCATGCTGCGCAATGCCACATGGACCCTCAGCAACTTCTGCCGTGGCAAGACCCCTCAACCCGACTGGCAAACTGTGAGTCGAGCTTCGCTGCCCCGCATGCCTGCATCCCCCTAACAATCCTGCAGATCCAGCCCGCTCTTCCCGTGCTTGCTAAGCTCGTCTACTCCCTTGACGACGAGGTCCTCATCGACGCCTGCTGGGCCATCTCATATCTGTCCGATGGCTCCAACGACAAGATCCAGGCCGTCATCGAGGCTGGCATCCCCCGCCGTCTTGTCGAGCTGCTGATGCACGCCTCCACATCGGTCCAGACACCCGCCCTGCGCTCGGTCGGTAACATTGTCACTGGCGATGACGTCCAGACCCAAGTCATCATCAACTGTGGCGCGCTCCCAGCCCTGCTGTCGCTCCTGAGCTCCACCAAGGATGGTATCCGTAAGGAGGCTTGCTGGACCATCTCCAACATCACCGCCGGCAACTCTACCCAGATTCAGGCTGTCATTGACGCCAACATCATTCCTCCCCTGATCCATCTCCTCCAGAACGGCGACTTCAAGACACGAAAGGAGGCATGCTGGGCCATTTCCAACGCCACAAGCGGTGGTCTGCAGAAGCCTGCCCAGATCCGTTACCTCGTCCAGAGCGGCTGCATCAAGCCCCTGTGTGACCTGCTCGCGTGCCCCGACAACAAAATTATCCAAGTCGCCCTTGACGGTCTAGAGAACATTCTCAAGGTCGGAGAGATGGACAAGGAGGCCGGCGAGGGTGGTGCTGGCGGCGAGCCCATCAACCGCTACGCCCTCTTCATTGAGGAGGTTGGTGGTATGGAGAAGATCCACGAGTGCCAGAACAATGCCAACGAGGAGATTTACATGAAGGCGTACAACATTATCGAAAAGTACTTTTCCGACGATGAGGGAGAGGCGGAGAACATGGCCGAGGGCGGACCCCAGGTCAACCAGGAGGGTCACTTTGGCTTTGGAGCTGCTGGTCAGCAGCAACAACAAAACTTCAACTTTGCCAACGGAGGCGACTCAATGGACATGTAAGCGGATGATTTATTCGCGACTATTGCCAATGAGTTGAGAGGGGGCATGGTCAGCCATGCAGCGCTCCCTCGATGACCCTAGCCAGCCACGAGAGGGCGACTAGAGGGGTTTGCCAGTGCCCTGGAAGGGTTTTGAGATCATACACGATATGATACGTGACCCGGGGAAGAGGCATGATTGCGGGGATTTCGAGTTTTCCTTTGCAAATGTTGCCATGTTTTCGCAGCCTTCACTTCGCCATGATTTCTATGAAGCCTAAACGATACACCGTCTTGTAACCCTCCCATGTTTGTTATCCGCATCATATCCCCGGCGTTGTGTTTGGCTGGCTCTCTGTCTGAAGCTCGGGGCGGTTTGGACTGGGCGGCCTGCTCTGCAAAGGGCGCTCTTGACATTTGGGTGCGAGGGCAAAAATATATAGTCTCAGTTCAGTCGTGCCGGCCAGATAGCTGAATTTATTATCGCCAATCCATTGGTGTTTTGGTGCCCATTTGAAAGTGAGTTGTCGTGATTGGCCCGTTCGCCGGCTGGGGGAACGGGGGAGAAGGTAGTGCGTCATTGGGCGAGGGGGGGACACGCTGTAGTGAGCGAACACCCCCGCCCGCCAGTGGTACTCATGCACGTCCAGCAACGCGCCGGGCCGTCAGCCTTTTGTGCCTTTTTAGTTTGCATTGCTGTGTAGTCGCGTGTTCGCATGCCATGAAGCTGACCCTGTGCATCTTGATATCGTGGTCTCTTGCCCATTCTCTCTGCAAATACGGTTGAGCACAAGGAACATCTTGTCCAATGCTTTGCCCCGATGGCGCAATCATCGCGGACACACCGCCTGAGCGTCACAGCCAGCACACCACTGTACATCACACATTCACCATCTACATATCGGTTCTGGTTTCCTTGCTCTGTACTCCTAGTTGCAACTACAACTGAGGCCTGAGAACAGAATAGTCGCCCACCATGTGCAGATTCATGGCAAGTCTGCTACAACACCTCCAAGTCATACCCAACTAACACATGGCAGGTCTACAAAGGCAAAGATGATATCCTTCTCTCTGAACTCATTCTCAACCCTACTCACTCTATCCTCACACAATCATTCGATTCGCGCCTACGACTAGTACGTTCCCCGTTCCATTTCCTCTAAGCGTCATCCACCTCGCCCTCCAAACTAATACAACCACCACTCCAGGACCGCCGCCGCCCACACAATGGCGACGGCTTCGGCATCGGCTACTACACCTCTCCCTCCTTAGGCCCCACGCCCTGCGTCTTCACCTCCACAATCCCCGCCTGGAACTGCATCAACCTCTCGCGCATCGCCTCCAAAACGACCTCGTCCCTCATCTTCGCCCACGTACGCGCCACAACCGAAGGCAACCTCAGCGACAGCAACTGCCACCCCTTCAGCTACAAAAGCATCATGTTCATGCACAACGGCGGCATCGGCGCCTGGCGCCAAATCAAGCGCCGCTTCGCCCTCAGCCTCGCCGAGAAATGGTTCAACGTCGTCGGCGGCTCCACTGACAGCGAATGGGCCTTTGCCATGTTCCTCGACTGCCTCGCCAACGCCGGTGTCTCCCCCGACAAAGAAGTAGAGCCCGGTGTTGGCTTCGGACATACGGTGCTCAGGAAGGCGCTGCTGAAGACGATTGAGCGAATCAATGCCTTGATTAAGGAGGTCGTGGGCGAGCAGGGGGTCGGGGAAGAGGATAGTAGGAGTTTATTGAATTTCGCGGTCACGGATGGGGTTAGTGTCGTGTGCTCGCGCTATGTCAGTTCGACGAAAGATGAGGCCGCGAGTCTGTTTTTCAGTAGTGGGACTAGTTGGAAGGAACTTGGCGGAGATGCGCATCGTGGTGCTGCTGCTGCTGCGTCGGTGGGCAGCGATGATGGGAGTAGCACTGGCGGTGTGGACAGCGAGGACAGAGAAAGGAACTACGTAATGGAGAGAAGGGATAAGGGATCTGATATCGTTCTCGTAGCCAGTGAGCCCTTGACGTTTGAACGCGGTATGTTAACATTCCCCTTTCTTCCTCTCATCCTTTTTATCTGTTTTTTTTGATACCCAATGCGAAATCAAGGCTAATGAGTTATATAGATAATTGGGTCACAGTTCCCACGAATAGTACCCTAACTATTTCAAAGCAGACGGTCATGATTCATCCCATTGTAGATGAGTTTTACTCCTCGAACCCGGCGCATGCGCGTAGTGCGCAGTTTGCTAAAGCAAAGGGGCAGACGGTTACGGGGAAGGCATGAGAGTGTGCTTTTTTTTTCCTTTTCGAGTTGGGATTTGAAGAGGGCCATGGGGTGTTTGGAGTACAAGGGGCGTTGAAGGGTGGTACTTTTGGCGTCTGTGTTTCCTTGATTTTTGGGAAGGAAAGGAATGATAGTACTCTTTTTCGTTCTTACGTACGATTTAGTAGGGTCATTATGCACACGAATTTTGTCATATCAAGATGTTGAACGAAAACAAGTGTATTTGAAGTCTAAGCCAAAAACTTGCACTATTACATTTTCTATATCCTTCCCACCTTCACGCTGCAAGCGCCTTCAAGACATCCGGATGCTTCCTCTTCCGCGCCGGATACGCCTTTTCGGCCTTAAACGCATCAATACGATCGCCATCAAGCAAAAAATCGTACTTTTCCACTACAGCCTTGCAAAATTCCACCCATGCCGTGTTGAGATAGCCATGGCCTTCCTTCTTTTCCTCGATACTTAGACAGCTGTAGTCGATGCTCCACCGTGCGAGTTGCTTCCAGCTGTACAGTGACATGCTCGGCGCGCCGACCATGATTTGATAGAATTCGTGGGACATGGAATTACTATGTTAAACCGTTAGCGATTCTGAGATGTCAAGAGAATATAATAGTTGGAGAGGAAGTCCTACCTAAATAGAGATGGATTATCAGAATTGACAGTGCAAGGTATACCCGCAGCCAGCAACTCTGGATACGGATGCTCCTTTACGTTTCTACAGAGATGCAAGAGTTCATTGGAAATAGGGCACAGCTCGATGCAGATCCCGGGGCTAGACTCTGTCTTTCTGAATTTCTCGAGCAAGTGCGGGTGCTTCATGAGGGCGAAACCATGGCCGATGCGCTGCGAGTTGAGGGCGACTGCGTCGTAGAGATTGGATTTTTTGGGATCGTCGGAGCCGCCTGTGTCTAGGAGCGTTTCACCGGCATGAAACATGAAGGGGATTTCCAGATTTAGTGCTTTGCATGTTTCCTGGAAGGCGACGAGTTGGGTTCTGTAAAAGTCAATGTGGTTGGGTCGGTCTTCAGCGCCGACGAGGTCGAATCCTGTATGTGTGTTAGAAACTAAACGCACCTCTTTAGACTTGTTCTTGGCACTTACCGCAGATGAGCTTGGGGAATTGAATCTTGAGCTTGATACAGTCCCTCATTTCGTTCTCCATCATCTTAGGTGGTATTGATCGAGGCGTGCAGTATATGATCTTGAGTCCGAACGGGAACTTGTGAATCTCACCTCTTTGCCTTAGCTCAGCCTTCTTTGCCTCTACTCCCTCAATAATGAGCTTCATCTGAGCAGCATTATCAACACGATCCTCTGGCTTTCCACTATCTCCAGGAATGAACTTGTCTAAAAGCATTGGTCGTAGTTCAGCATACATGACCCCTTCCTCAATCATTCGGTCAATGGCATCGCTTATATAGGATACGTAGACACTTTTGTAGTTTAGAAGCCCTTTAAAAGCCCTTGTGGCTTGGTTGAATCGCGCCCAGACCCTGTGTGGGTATCAGCAGATGGTTTTCTCAAGTAGCAACAGACATACCCATTAACAGTCTGGTCGGGACGGTAAGCCTCCTCTTGACTAAGTACCATTTTCGACCTTAGCCAGTTCTCGGCTGGCCTTAGTAGAGCACGAGGTGCCGATTCTCCACAATGTTGTGGCTGCCCATCGCGGAAAGTCCCTGGTTCTTGCTGCAGGTACTGGCCAGGAAATTTCTTTTCAAACTCCTCCTGGAACTTCGCCCATGGCATCCAGATCTGCTTTTGAAACTCTTCTTTTTTGAGATCGGCCGGCGTTGTGACAAGAGGATAATCCATTGAAAATATGTCAACGTTAGGATTGATAGTGTTTGGATCTAGGACATTAAAGACCAACTCGGTCGTGGCCAACTGCTGCTCATCTTGGATACGCTGAATGCTGCGGATATACATGTTCTTCATTGTTCGGGCTCGTACAAGAAGAATTTCAGGATGTAATTCAGCATTGAAGTGCAGATGCAGAAGGCCCCCCTTGGGCACCATCTTGGATATCTCAAACAACTTGCTGTCCTTATCTATCCGATCTTTGTTAGTAAGAAACTGGCCACCCATGTCCTGATCTTCAACATCCGGGAGCGACTCTGACGCCAGATTTCCAAAGGTAACGATGCGTTCATACTCGCGAATCTGCTGTATGATGGTGGCAGCTCTTCTCTCTACCCTATCTCGCTCAGATGTTGAATTACTGTTGGGCCTTGCTTCCCGATCCCAAGCGTTATCTTCTTCTACTTGAAGAAGGTTGCTCCTCTGTTGCCCGTATCTCTCCGATGCTGTTGCATCCTTTAGTTCCTGGTCAAACTTGGCCAAGGCCTGTGCCTCTTGCTGTTGTTGCATTTGGCTATCAGGAATCGGATCAGGGGCCTCCATATCTGCAGGATGAAAGGGCACCTTTCGTGTTGGATGCGAACTCGTCGCTCTTTTTCTCTTCTTTGGTGAGTCAGCTGTCATGACCAGCCTGTTTGGATCCTCTGGAGACGTGTGTCTGCCACGTACAAAGCTGCGTGCATTGGTTAATACAGACGTGCACACGACATGCGTGGTTTAGTCCAAGACTCACAATGTGGGGATCACAATACCACACTTGGCCAGCAAGCCTGGGCGGGCTTGTTGAGACGCACTCGAAGGTTTGATGTCGCCGTCAGTGGGCATACCGGTGATTGTTTTGGCAAGATGATTATGGTCGGCTGTTCATGCCGGTGCGCATAAAGTCGCAGGGAGAGCAATGCAATGATGATCGCATCCGGTTGCACCTGCATTCAAAAACCCCTCGAGGCGAATTTCTTGCTTCACCGGTCTAGGCTGTGAGCAAAACTCGGTGTAAGACGAGTTGTTGGCTGGTATATTGATGCTCTATTTGGGTAAGGCCTTCAACTACCGGCGAAACCTAGCCTGGTGTTGTCGATGGAGTAGTACCAGTGTCAAATGTTGTAGGCCCGATGTTTGGCCTAAGGCACGTGGCCGTACGAATCAGTAAAGTAGTTTGATGAGTGGAGTTCCGGTGTAGCTATATGGGCTGCGCCTCGATCACGCCTTGTCCTGTTGCCTGGGGATGAAGAGAAGAGGATGAGGAGGGGCGTGAATGACGGCATGTTTGATAGTGTCTGCCTCGTGATGGCAACCGCAACAGACACGCTATGGAAAAGGAAGGAGCGTCCACATACATCAGCGCACACTTTCTGCGAATGTTTCCTTCTTCTCTTGACGCCTCAGATACATGCGACACCACATCCAACGTCTTGTTGATACAATTAGGCCGTGAGCGCAGCTGTCGCTGTCGGATCGTTTCACGTCAAGCCCAGCCTAGTACACTTTGCCATCGGAGGGGGCGCAGCAGTCGACAAGCTCAAGGCGTTTATCACGACAAGCGAGTCAGTTCCTGGAGAGAAGGCTAGAGTCACTGGCACAATTGAGGCTATGCAAAAAAGCCACAGGCCATCTGCGAGACCCCTCATTCACCAGGCTCCAATCGCATGGGGCTTTGGACATGCATCGACACTCGCTTCCTTCGATGCAGCGCGAACCGACAGCCTTCTAACCCGAGCGGTAACACAGGCGCTTTTGGCCCCCCAGCTGCAGCCCGTACAACATTCGTTCCACGCCTCCACGCGTCGTCACCGTCATGCATGCCTTTGTGCCTCGAATTTTTGTTTGATATATATCAACTTCTACTAACTGTGCTCGCCTTGACGCCGCACTTCAATCCACGCCGCCTTCAAATCGAACCCATGCCGCATCTCTGCCTTTTTACGCCTTCGTTCCGTTCCGCCCTCTAGAGACCCCCAGTGCTTACCGACATGTATTGGCTTCCGGCCGACAACGATGGGAAACTCTCCTACAAAGAATTGCAGCTCGACATTGTTGGCTTCCTGGCCATTTTGGGAGAGGGTTCCGTACTGGCCAACGCGCAAGTCTCAACACTTTCCAGATGGATCTTCTTGCCGCGCCTGCTGCCAGCACCTCAGGCTCTCATGAGACCCACGAGACCAAGTAATCTTGAATCGTTTCCAGGCCATGTGACGGGCATTGTCTCAGGCAACCACCGAGATCACATTAACCATATTGGCAACATTGTCTGGTGAGTGCACCATTACTGGTAAACTTCGCTACTAGCAAGTTCCGACAAGGCACCTCCCCGCCTGTCTACCAGACTCTGTAACACACGCGACAGCGATCACGGCGGCATGCTTACAGAAGCCTACTAGCGATGCTAACAATCTCCCTGATTTCTGTGTTCGCGTCGTCCAAATAAAACGCGTTAACGAGAAGGACCTCAAATCGAAGACTTTCGGCCCGCTCACCGTCGTCCTCCTTATTGGTTTCGTCCTCTCCGTCTTGCTCCTAGCCTTGTCGATATGGCAAGACGACGGCATGTCTATAGTAGCTACGCTGGTGCTATCGTTCCTCTCTAGTCTGATTGGACTGAGCAACAAATGGCGATTGAAACTCACCAAACGCCCCGACAAAAACCGCAAGGTACCACGCGGAGATCTTGTGATACGATATTTGAAGGGCAGTTTCTTGGTGGTGCGATGTGAGGAAGATGTTGCTCGGGAACTTTACTTTGCACCCGAAGGCATCCACTACCTCATCACACACGCTCCCGTATACCGGCTACTGAGCTTGATAGGCACCATGATGCTCATGGGCGGCGTCATCTGTCTCGCCAATGCGCAAATCCAAGTCCAAATTGCGTGGGCAGGCTCTTATATGCTCCTCAACGCATCGTACTGGATCGTGGCTGCATTACCCAGCAAGATGCACTGGGATACTTCTTGCTACGAGGTGATATCCGAGTGTCTTACCGGCTCCGACATGGACGCGAAGGGCTATCCGTCTGAAAGTACATCGTATACATGGGCTCTGTGGAAGGCGATTTGTGTTACCAAAGAGACGGATTGGGTACTGAAGAGTTCGGCTTGTCCCGACACGGAAGCGTGGAAGGACTGGTTGAGGGAAGCCAAAGCGTGCAGCCAAGACGTCAGGCTGGTGGACGATGTAGAGATATCCAAAGGCAAAACCATGTGGGAAGTGCCTGAGTGGGACCCTCAGGCATCCCTGACACGCATAATAGCGGAACATGCAAGTGGTGAGCACAAGAAGTATGAGGTTGTTTGACAGGATACGACTTGGATTTTTTTTCTCTTCCTCCTCTCTCCTCTGGAATTGGGCCTTTCCTTTCTCTCTCTGGATTTTTTTATGCATAGCTCTGGGGAAACAAGGGATTCCACCACGGCCATTATCATCATCGGACGAAGTTCAACGACATTTAAGGGGAAAAAAACGACGACATTTCAAACGACGGCTTGTTCAAGGTACCATGGGCCACAAACCATTATTATACGTTTATCGCGCATATACCATTTCTCACGACGACATGTTTTCGCATCATCAGGCATTCTTTCCTGTTTTTTCTTCTATATTTTGACAGCAAAAAGCCATTCAATTACTGCATAGCTATCATATCGCATCTCATGCACATAGGTTATCAATTGAGGAAACTTTACTTTTGGTACTTGGCCTACAATAATTGGATGCTCTTGGTTTTTAGAAATGCACAAGAGGTCAAGCAAAGTCCACCTCTTGGGCAACTTTGCTGTTGTATTCAAATTCCACTCATCTAGCACGTGGAAATATTTTTGGTTCTCGAAAAGAGTTGTCTCTTGTTTAACGGCCGAGCAATACATAGCTGCAGCACCAAGGACACGCGACTTAAGCAGTGGCCTTGTTTCTCCGAGTGGAGTCCGGAGGCAGCCTTCTCTGCGCATACCGATATCAAGAAGGTGGGCTTGTCAGATGTGACATGAAGCTTTTGGGCTTGAAGAGGGCTTCCCCACTGTCTGCATTGGTCTGAACAACATCCACTCTTCAGGTCGCGCTCCTCCACCGTTGCTCGTGCTCCACTTTTCTCTTCACCACGCTCCTCAGCCACTTGTCCAAGCTCTCTGCTTCAGCCTGCGCGTCAATTTCCATTGCATCGCCCTCAACGTCCAATCTGATGCCGCCTTGGTCTTCGCTGTCGTCCTCGCCGCAACACGCCTCCTCAGCCATTTGACAGGCTTCGTTCCAATCTTCATAACTAAAGGATCCTTCGCTCTCACTCAACAACATCTTTCTCTCGCCCGAAAAAGCGAAGACATGGACCGAGTGTATGGGTTTCGCGCGCAAGAGTTGGTTGGCGGTCGGGAATAGAAGCGCCGAAGAAGGTGGGGCAGGTTGCGCGACGAGTACAGATGTGAGAGTTGTAGATAGGGGTATCGAGGCAGAGAGAAGGGCGAGAAGCGCGGTATGGAGGAGGTGGGGGAGGAGAGAAAGAGACTTGGGATGGTTGTCAGCGATCTTGGCCGTGGCGACGAACAGTAGACTGCAGACGAACCGTATTGACACCTGCGGTACTATCTTCCTCTGGCAAGCTCCTCACTTGCAGGGTGATTTGAACCAGTGTTCGTGGTATCGATTGCGTCAGGATAATGCTGCGCAGCGTGTTGTGCACGAGGGTTTCGAGGTGTCGCTCTCTTGGGCCTTTCACAGAATCATGGTCAGCACCGAGCTATCTTTGACATTCTACTATCGGATACCAATACGCACTTCCTACGCCCGCGGCTGGCCTCAGGTTGACTTCAATGGCGGCTTCTTCTGGCAACTCATCGCGCCGCTGCACCTCGATTGGCCCATTGACGGCGCCGATGATGGAGTACCCATTCTGTGTATATGTCGCTGAGCCATCGGCACGATTCAGGTGGGTGAGGGTAACTGTTGGGACAACCATGGCTGGATGTATTTGTGTATTGTATGCGCGTGTCGGCGTCGTCATGGGTTGGTGGCGCCCATGTCCAAAAGTTTTGGTGGGGAGATAAGCTTTGGTCGCGGAGCGCACATGAGCTCTATGCGACCGAGGTGCCAGCCAGCATCACCGCGGCCAACCCAGCCAGCCAGCCAGCCCATTGCGCCTGGGACGTGTTGGCCAGCCAGCCTCCTCACTCGCCTTTCACCGCCATCTCACCCCCGGCGCTCCCTCTGTACAAACTCCCCGCACAACTGTCCACCTCGTACCACCAGTACGGTTTGCGTGCCAATCGCAGAGTGAAACCCACATCATGGCCGGCTCTTCGCGCAACGCCTCGCCTATCAAGCGGCTGATGACGGAGCTGCAAACATACCAATCCAACAAGAACGATGTCCTCTACGACCTGGGGCCCACCGACGACGACGTCATGCAATGGCGCGCCGTCATGAAAGGTGTACCAGGAACCGCATACGAAGGTACATGCAGTCACCTCTTCCACATGCTCTTCACGCTACTAACACATACCCAAACAGACGGTTGCTGGCTCCTCTCCATCTCCATCCCCTCAACCTACCCCCTCGCACCCCCCACCGTCCGCTTCATAACTCCAATCTGCCACCCCAACGTCGACTTTAAAACCGGAGAAATCTGCCTTGACCTTCTCAAGACCTCGTGGACCCCTGCATACACTATTTCTACGACTATGACCAGTATCCACCAACTGCTTACCAGCGCAGAGCCAGACAGCCCGCTCAACGTCGACGTCGCGCAGTTATTTCGCACGGGTGACGAGGTTGGCGCACGTAGCTTGATCCGCTGGTATACTGCTAGTGAGAAATATGCATGGAAGGATAAATATTAGACATTTCAAGCTGTCGGGAAGTAACGAGAGTTGACGGATAGTATTGGCGTTTTTTTTCTCCTCTTTTGCAATTGTTTTGGGCAATGATACCCAAGTAAACTGACTCGAATTATCCCCCAAAGAAAACATATCATGTGAATTTGCTGTTTTGATCATTTCTTAAACCTTGAAACCGATATTCTTCTATCTATTCTTGGAAAGCAAAAATCATATAGGGATATATCAAGAATATCATTTACTAAGAACGAAACTAGTAAGCCCTTATCACAATTAACACACAGACAAACAAATACCTTGGAACTTTTCTCCAGCTAATAAACTATACTTAACTTGACTTCCCCACAGCTGAATGGTTCCATAAAACCCCACATATCCTGCAATCTAGAACCCATTTCAGTAGGAAAGAACAAGCGAAATGCCAAGAGTAATGTTACTTGTTTTGTGCCAATGTTGCTTTCAGCCGCGTTGCAGCAATAGCAGCAGCAGTAGTAGCCCCGCCTAACTTTGTCATGTTCTCCGCGGAATGCCAATCGAGAGCTGAAAAAAAAGCGTACTTTCGGAATTTCCCATGGGGAAATTTTGATCACGTAATATTTATTTAGTTACTTAACTACCCTTTTTCTTTCTGAATCTAGAAAAGGGAAGGGGAAAAAAGGTTTAGAGTTTCGAAGTTATGTGCGATATAGTGAAAGGACATGAAGGAAAGAGAGAGATATGGGAGATGTGAAAAAAAAGTTGTATGGAAATGAACGATATCATAATTCTAACAAAAGGGGACCATATTCTCTATCTAATCATTAAAAAAATAACTACGCAAGAAAATTATATACCCATGGTCCGTAGTTCCGTCATACAATCTCCTACTGCTTCCATCCATACACCGCAGACCCAACCCTCACAACAAAAAAGTCTTGCATGTACCTTCCCCATGTACCCTCTGACTCTCTCCCTCCCCCCAAAGTACAACCCACACCCACACACACCAATCCCCGCCCCACAAATCCTATAATTCCCTACCCGCAGCCCGCACCGGCATCCTTAGACCCCCCCCCCCTCTCCCCGGTCACCTTATTTTCCCTCGCACTCAGCTACCAAGCACGCACGCCACCACGCGGCGCTAACGCACGCCTCACGCTGCAAATCGACAGGGTGGTGCCTCGTATGCGGTTCACGCCGTTGAGTGGGTGGGTTTTTTTTGGCTGCGAAGGGTTTTGGGGTCACGCGGCTCGAGATAGCTGGGCGGACAGCGAAGCAAGGACAAGCGCCAATGTGCTACTTGCTTGTTTTTCTTTGGGTGCGGCTGTCTGGGGTTCGGGGGGAGGGAGATGAGAATCCCGGGTTTTTCCGGGGGAGGTTGGGCGGGTGGGATGAGGAGAGGAAGTGAGAGATGAGAGTGTGTATGGGTGAGTAGGTAGAGGGAAGGATGAGCTGAGGCTGGAGGTAGATGCTGGAAGAAGGGCAGAGTAGAATAGTCGGCAGAGAATGAGGTTGTGCGTCGTATTTTTGCTCTTTTCCTCTCGCCATCTTCTCTCAAAGCATCAACGCTTGAGATGGTATTGTCAATTACACGCCCTTGGAAGCCTCATTTTTTGTTCTTGTTTTTTTTTGCCTTTTCAGCCGCGCGGATAATAGGGCGATATGCGGATTTTTGGGGGATAAAAGAAGAAGAATAAGAAAAACAACACGACATCATCCTGCGTTGATGGTCCATTGGCTGCGTCTCCAGCCTCTTGTCGAGATAGTGACGACGCCTTCGCGGATAGTGTCATTTTCTGGGCTGATATTTGTGGGGATGCGGCGTGAATAGAGGATAGTCTCGAGTTCTTCGGGCCTTTTATCTGTAGGCGCTTCCGTTTTCATGCCCTCTTTTATGACTTCTGCGACTGCGATTGTTGGCAAGGGAACTGGAAAGTACGGTGCGTCGTATGGTCCGGGAAGACTTTGCGGCGGTGCTATCCATGGGTATATGGGTGAACGAGATGGTTCCAGAGTTTCCTGCTTGAGGGATTCAAGGTATTCGTTTTGGTTTTGTTCCAGTGATGACTGATGAGTCGTGTCGTGACTTTGTGCTTCCGGGTCGATGTTCTCTTTCGAGTCCGCATCTGGATGCACCTGCTTTCCCGCAGACACATCCATCTGTCCACCCTGAGACGAATCTTTTCGTTTTTTGACAACCAAATTCTCTTGGCCCATGCCCGAGTCCTCCATCTTCTCATCAAAACGCAACACGCTTTTTCTTCTTTTCCCCAGAATACGTGCGATTGATCGCACGGTTATTGCAAACAAAGAAACCAGCAAGATAGTGCTAAAAAGAGTCTGTGACTCAAAAGATGAGCGCCAACCATCTAAGCAGCCAACCCCAGTAGATATAGGGAGTGGAGGCATCGGAGCAGTGATGACGACGGTGCGACGGATATAGGCCTTGGCACAGTACTTCTAAGCAACTGACGAATTAACAAATATAGAGATGCTGCAGGCCGGGATAGCTCTAGATTACTTTGGTCAGTAGACTGGACAGCAGCAAGGCAGCCTTTTCATATGACACACCTCAGAAAAGGGATGGGGCAACTCGTTAGCATAAGCACTAGGGACACGAAGCCTCCGGTCGATAGTATCGAGATCGAGTTTTTACAAGACTCGTGGGCAAAAGCTTCTAGTCTGTTCCCGTATAACTTGCACCGGGGTCCTGGACGTTATCAATAAAAAGAGATATATGGGGCGGGACAGGAAGAAGCTGATATGATGAAGCCAAAAAGCCACGAGTATTATTGTTCCTGCATTTCGCTTCCCTCGACAACGATGCCATTGTGAATTACTTATTTACCTTTTGACGGCGACATCAGCAAGCCCAGGTGACACTGAAACATGATGATTTCGAGATGCTAGCTCGCCGCGATCTGGTGGCACTGGCAAAAAGTGCCACACGCTAGGATGAAGCGAAAAGCCCGGATAGAGGGCGAATCGAGTAAAAGGTACCAGACATGGTCCATCTCAGCTGTATCGTGCCGGCGGCAGGCGCAACATGACAGATGTTACCAGGGAATCGGCTTAGGGTGGTGGGCGGTCTCAGCACGTCAACCAGCGTATTTGCAGCTTGGCAGCTCCTTGTTCAGCTCGAGTGCGCAATGGTGGCGTTCGTTGTGGCGCTGGCCGCTCGGCATTCCGCCGGATTGGCAGGGGTAACCCGAATCGCATCTCTGCGCCAGGGAACAACGGCGAGCTGGCGCGGAACGCATTCGACCATAGCCGTCGTGGGCCATTTTACTGGTGCAGTGGCGTAATCATCGAGGCACAAAGGGGGTGTGGAGTGGCCAAGACAACATGTCCCGTGATGAGTGGGTTTCAGCTTGTGCGCAGACGCCAACCGAAAGGCAACCCGCACCCATGTCGACATACTTACCCTACCCCCAATCCACCAACAGGTAAAACTGGTTATCAGAGTGCAGCTTGACGCCCATCTATATACTTGCACCAATCGCTTCCTCGAAACAGCCGCCGTTTCCGCTCCAGGTGGGGCTGTTTACTGCGATTTCGTGCAGCAAATGATTGCCTCTACCATGTGAATGGTAACTGTTAGCGACCTCCGGCTTTGATGGCTTCCGCAATTCTACCCTCACCGATTCTAGTCTCTTGGGCGTCAATGTCTATCTCAATCTGGTTAACTCTGCTGGTACTCACGCTGTACAGATGCTGCCACAATTTGTCAAAGCGCTCGCGATCTTCGATGCCTTGTATCCCGCTGTAATATCGATTCTCATCTTGATCGCATACTTACAGATTTTAGTACCTAGCCAGCATGGACCTCGAGCGGTCTTGTGCAAAGGCTAGCTAGCATCCACGGCTAGACTATTCCGAACGTGCTACATGGTCAGCTACATTTGCACGTTGGCATTTCTCATTTGTTCAGTGATTGGCGGCGTACACACATCTCCATGTGCTTGTTGCTTGCTTTTGGAAAGCCACCCACCGGATTTCTGTCATGTTGAACCATGGAGTCTTGAAAATGTCACAACCATGTCTCAATCCGAGTACAGCAGCCACTCACACCACAAAGATGACATGCACACCTTTGTACAAGTGTGCATGCATTCTGGAACCCTGCTCGCAGAAGAGTGCAGTTTGTGTCGGCGATATTGTCATGAGGCGAAATATCTCCCTTCAGCTAGTCCACAGTCAACTCAACAGCAGAAACTCTATGTACTATATCGGAAAACACCGTGATTCGTGGTCATGGCAAATACACAGCCCGGTTCACTTAGGCAATCTTGTCGTTGATATTAGTCCACCTGAAACTCAGACGTAGCGTGCTTCTCCACGGCGATCCCGACGCCACATCAGCACGTGATTCGCCTCGCGCACAAACACCTCGATATGTACGCATTAGGTCAATGGCGAGGATGCCGGCTAGACTCTCGGTAGGGGGCTGGCACTGGGATAATCTTCTGGTGGCAGATCATGGACAACCAGACTATTGGAGGGCGCATTGCCGTTTTCGAACATTCAAACTAGAACCCGATATAATGTTACGCCCCTTGTTTTCAGACTATCACAATCGGCTTTCGCGGCATGTTCCTGAGGATTCTCCTAACTTGCGTCCTTGTAGTGTAGAAGAAACCGATGCGTTGAAACCTGTTTTCTCCAGCTGACGAGTCTAGCACTAGACCAATGACCGCTTCATTCTCATGTGCCGTTCTCTTAGTGGTTCCTATAATTGGCAATAATGTGAGCTGCTCTGGTATATTTTCCATGGCTGTATCAAAGAAGATCTCTTGCTCCGTGTCAGAGTCTGGAGGGACGGAAACAGAAACGCTGCGATTCAAGTGAGGTGGAAAGATATGCGTGATCCTCGCGGCCTTGGGTTTGGCGGAAGGGAAAGGATTCTCAGTAATCCAGAGAGTTGACGTGACTGGTCCAACGAGTCTTATAAATCCAGAATTGACCCGACCAAAGCGATAGACACTATCACAAGACACGCTTGCTTCTTCAAGTGTTACCAGGTAGTCGTTCGGATCGTAGTTATGCTGGCACCACGCAAACGATATTTTGCCTTGGATGGAGGCCCAGGACCATGTCGGAGCTATGTATTCTTCGTACCTTTTCGGATAGCCTAGCCATTTATATGAGAACCCTCCTTGAGGGGTCTCGGTTACCCTAGGTTTCCATAAAAGATAGACCGGCAGTGACGATTGCCACATACCTGCAAGATATCCATCTCCAGGTTCGCCTGAACTGGAAATTGATATGCTACTTGCAATACCTGCCAGTGCGATGAGCTTGTCTTTGGGGAAGCTGAGACTTGACATTGAGTACAGTTCCACCACTGCATCCCAATCTCGAAATTCCGATGAGCTCTTCATTTGGGCATGGAGAGTAACTTCTTGAACAATGATAGGTCGGAATATTGTCATGAGGCTATTCTGTATTCTTCTCATCATCGTTTCATGTTTTGGGGCTTCTGAGGTATACTTTGCGGGCCAGCGTTCGTCCTTGGTCTCATCTCCAAGCTGTAATCTCTTGATACCGATGAGTGGATCCCCACACAAAGCAGCAGGTAGTCTGTCATGGTAGGTTTCGCATGCGGCTAACTCTCGACATTCCCAAAAAACCTGCTCATGCCCAAAATGTAAAACGCGGGGTGAAAGGATTCGTTCTTGTAGTACCCATGCGCGTCTATTCAGTGGCTCTTCCGTGAGCTTTCTGGCCCAGAGGCTAGGTGCTGGTACAAAGAGATACCTGCATTTTTTTCCTCGGTGATTCGACCAACAAATATCAACTTCCGTCGGTACTACCTCCTGCGGATTTCTCTCCCAAAAGCATCCCTGAGAACTATCGCTCGCGCCTGTAGCAGCTATGTTAATGAAGGAATACCGGTATACATTGCTCATGGAAGCAGCTTCACGCATCCAATCTTCGGCATCGTCTTGAACTATGCATAAGGAATCAATCCAAAGATAGCGCAAGTGGAACTTACGGGCGATCTTGATTGCATCTCGAAATGTCTTTGGAAATTGCTGATAGGGAATGAGTTGCTTGAATTCTTTGATATTGCTTTTAGTTGTTCGAGGTAATTGTGCAGCTATACCCCAGCAGTGAGAGAGTGTGGCGTAGTTTTGTTTAGACTGATCAATATCTTTTCCATTTACCAATCGAACGACGTCTTTTTTAAAGGTGCCGACATCAAGCAATCTCGTGGGTGCCCATTGCTCCGGAGGAGAAGTATTGCATCGGGGATGGTTCTGGGTACAATCTCTCACCCAATATTCAATCAGACTCCAAGTCTCTGGAGAGTCTGTAGATACAGAAGGCCGATAATGGGCATACCCGCCTTTGAGAAAACATCAGCTTTGATTTATACGAAAATCAGAAGATCTAGCCAACTGACCTGGAGGGTTCTCAATAGTTTCGAAGTAAAACCGCAGTTTAAAGCTCGCCGCGGTCTGTGATCGCAAGGTCAGATAGAATGAGTGTTGCCAGCTTGCTGAGGATGTGTCTGAGTCGCAGTCAATGGGGAATAACGCTTCCGGAGGATCAGAAGAGTCTGAATCCCTGTTGTATAGCCGACTAAGCACAAGCACACATATACAACAAGCGGTTTTAGCGGAGCTTCTCAAAGATGATAGTGATTCGTGATATGCAAGGTTTTTGTACCATCCAGTTACCCGTATTATATCTAGTATGCCCTTGCATATTGAGCATAATTCTCTGGAAGTCGTGGAAACCATGTCGGAAGATGCAGTAATATACTTTGTCGAAGGGCAGGTGTAGCAGTGAACATGGCGCGACGTTGCCTAAGGATCTCGTGAGATTCAGTCGGCTATAACATGCAGAGTGGCTGAGCAAGAATGCCCCGCCCACGTCTCGTATTGCAGCCTCATTTCTCTTTGCTTAGCGAACGTGCTGTGCCCTTTTTACTGCTATCTCTTCCATGTGTGTGTGCGTCTAGCTCGTAAATTTGGTCTTTGGTGCCTCTTCATCCACGGGAGAGGAAACTGGGACATTGAAGTATGCATAACCTCTTAGTTTCTTAGTGTGTGGTATCTATGGGTTCACGAATTTAGAGTATACATCGTTCTTAGAAACTGCCCGCAACAATTCTGAGAAAACATATGATACCAGGCTCAATGTTATTGGCCGTAGCGCATGAATGGGGGGCCCTCAAGAGATCAATCAAGATTATCACATAACCATTTCTAGATGTAGGAGAGTATGCCCGCACAACAGCCGTCTTTGATACATCGGCAGACCTCCTGCAAAACGCTCAAAACTGAGTATCGAGCTGAAAGACCGGTTGGCCCTCCCTCCATTCATCAAAGTCTTTTTCTCCTGGCATCTCCCTGCCATCAGAAAGCCTGAGTCTTGGGAATGGTCTCGCCTCGCGGTTATAGGTAGGCTCTTTTTGGGCCAACTCCTCATTGACTAGGACTAGAGCACCGGAATGCCAGCCTGCAGCACTGACCCGCAGAACGAAGTGCGCACCGAGGCCATCTTCGCCGCCATCTTGATCCCAAGCTTTGGCTTCTTGTTCAAACCACTCACTGACTTCACCCTGTACGTTGGCATCATCAGTCCACATTTGTCTGCGTTCTTCGCTTTCTTGAGCGTGTGCAGCATCATGCACAGTTTGTGCAAGCCATTCATTCTTCCTTGCATCGAACCAGACCTGGCGACCGGATGTGTAGGCATGCGGCAGCAAGCGCCCATTGGCATTGAACCTGTCGTACGCAATACCGCGAGCCTTTCCGACTGCACTGTCATCGTTGGAGCCCAGGCCTAGCGCTCCACAGCCTGTATTCTCCATACCATACGATGTAATCTTGCCATTTGCGTGGAGCGCAAGGTAGTGATAATCGCCAAAGGCGACCGAGATAACATCGTTGTGCTGCAGAGCAGGTATCTTTTTCAACCCCGGTAGGTCTTTCTGCTCTGGATTCTCGTGTAGATGATGTATGCATGATTCGAGGTAGTTCTGATCGCTGATTATTACCTCACCGTCCTTGAAAATAGCGAAGCTGCGGAAAGAGCCCTGAACATCAACAGGAGCGCCTTTCTCATGACGTAGTTGATGTAGCTCAACGACACTGTCTATCGCGTTCTTTTCTCCAAATCTTCCGCAGAATACCTTGCCTACGTCCGTGGTAAACACGACAAAGTGCTCCAACATGATGTAATTCATCACTGCTCCCACCTCTTCGCTTAATTCTCTCTGCTCATCGCTCTCACGGGCACCTTTGAGACGCTGATAGCCAGTCTTCGGGACTTCTGCATATTCCATAACGAGCATAGTGTCTGTGCCTCCATCACCATGATCTCTTTCAACTGGATCCCATACGACTATGCCAACACCATTCACCAGGGCCGAACTTCGGCTCCAACCTGCTACGACTTGTTTAATCTGTCCGAAAGTAGATTCGGTGCTCGACGTCCCACGCAAGGAGAGCTCGTTGATCTGCAGGGTCGCAAACTTGACTTGCAGAGCGGGCTCTCTTGTGTCAAACCATGACCATAGCCTTCCACTGTCTGAAAGCGCAAGTATGTGTGCTCGACCTGAGGAGAATTGGCGAATGGCGACTGTCGGCTCTTCGTATTGAGCCTGGGTAGCATTGGTTGGGTAACCTTCTGGAAAACGGAGGGCTTGGAGGGGGCCGGTGCCGTAGGTGATTCTTTGGCCATCAAGGACTCCTGCAGTATGCAAAGAGCCCTTGGAGGTGAGAAGGGTTGTTGACCAGCCTCTGAACGCATGTGTCAGCACTTTGCACAGCCAAGACAACACGAGCGCCACAAAACGTACCCGCACTGCATGTCTGCAATGACGCCCAGATTCCGCGTGT